GCACGCGAAAGGCTATCTCCCCATGTACTGATCTTAATTTCTGAATTTTTGAGGAAAATTGACTTTTTTTAGGGGGGGGGGGGCTTAAGTGTAGGTGCCGCTCTGAGTATACAGTCTTATACATCTTGATTAATATTAGTGAATGAGATATGATATCATATTGTATTGTATGTTGATGTTCAGCGATAGGAAGACAAATACAAAACAAAAAGGTTTTTTTGTTCTTTCGACAAAAAAATTCATAACCGCCTATTAAATCAATGATGTGAAATTTAAAATTATGGAAATGTTTAATCCACACATAAAAGCAACAATCTTTATTATTCAAAACAATTCCCTATACAGAAAAAAAAAAAAGAAACAAAGACTAGTCAATACGCACACTTGGTTATACAATAATTACACAATACTAGCTCGTGTCTGATAATTTGATGTGACATTATACCATCCACTATTACTAATTGATGATGATGATGGTGATATTGAATGCTTTTTTTTTTCATTATTTGTTATTGATGATTTTGTAAGCATTTTATCAAGTAAAAGTATTCCATTAAGTAATGGTGGTGGTTGTGGTTGTGGTAATTTTGTTTGAATATCTTTTGTTGATTGATTAAGAATTGTTTGTAATGTTGGAAAATCATTTGATTGTGTTCGTGGTAAATCTGTTAGAATAGGTGAATTTTGATTTATATGTTTTATTGATATATCATGTTTTATTTGTTTTGGTAATGTACTAAATGTTGATGATGTATTTTGAAAAAGATCATTAAAAACATTATTTGTTGGATTAATTAATGTTGGTTGAAAACTAACATTTTTTGTTGGTTGACGTCGTGTTGATTTTCGTGTAAGAGTTGTCAATGCTGATACAGTTGATGATGGTAGATTTTGATGATGATGATGATTATTATTATTATTATTATTATTATGTGAACGATCAAGATCCGATGTTGATGATGATGATGTACCATTAAATGGACAAGAAAGAAGTGATGAAGAAAATTCAGCATCTGTTGTTGATGGACTATTACCAGATGGAATTTGTGAATTCTGAACAAAGAATTATATAGATAATGTTAAGCTTTTGTCTTGTTTTTTTTTTTTTTTTTTAAATTTAAATAGTTCTTTTTCTTTTATATTAGTTCAAAAAAGAAAAAGGCCGTCATATTTTCCTAATAGAGAATGAGAAGGTTATTAGCAGCCACATGGCCATTTTGGAATGATATGTATGTGCTCAGTTGAGCAAGAAAAAACAATCATCATCACTCGATTGATCCTATGTAAACGTATCGAACTAAAGGTCAAAAATTCTAGTGTGTTGATATATATACTCCAAAAAATAAAAAGAATGACACACTCAAGATATAAACACATTAGCATAACTTACTTTTCTTTGTTTAGTAATAATAGTATAATCATTACTATGAATTGATGGTAAAATAACGGTTGTTGATTTTGTTTGTGGACTATTTTGTTTTGATTTATCTTCATCATTAACAATTAATCGACTACCATATAATTTTTTTTCAACATTTTTTCTTATACATAAATAATAAATAATAAAAAAAATAATAAAACTAATTAGAAAAAATATTAAAATAATTGTAAATAACATTGAAAATTTTTTAAATGTTTTACTCATATTATTAAATAAATTTAATCGTAATAAATTTCTTTCATTAATAATAATATTTAAAAATTTTTTTGTTTCAAATTCAAAATTTTTTGCTTGAACTTCTATTTCATATATACCAGGTAATATTGATGAATTTTTTAACCATAAAGAATTATTTGAACCAATATAAAAAAATTCAGTATTTGATATTGTTAAATTTATTAAAGTATTATTTTCAAGATCATTATCTCGTATAATAATATCAGTTATAAATTGTGCTAAAGGATTATCTATATCAATATGTTCTGAATGATCATCAGAAAGTATATGTTGAATTTCATTTGTTTCTGGCCATATAAATATAGGAGGATTATCATTAATATCCCTATGAAGAAAAAAAAAAGAAACAAAATTCCTTAATAAAATAAAACAAAAAAAATTTTCATACAAAATTTTAATTGTTACAATTGTTGATCCAAATGTTGAATTATCTGTTGCAATAATTGTTAATTTATATTCATCTTGTAATTCTCTATCAAATATAAATTTTGTTGAAATTTTTCCATCATTATCAATTATAAATAAATCTTCATAATTTCCTAATGTATAACTAATTAAATCTTTATAATCTTGATCATATGCTTTAACTTGTCCAATATATATAATTGTTTGATTTTCATATATAGAAAATTCATAATAATCTTTTTCAAATTTAGGTGAATATTCATTTATATTTATGATATTTATTTGTATATTAACATATGATTCAAGTGATGGTTGACCATAATCACGTGCACGAACTTGAAATTTATATATACGTCGAATTTCATAATCAAATGATGTATTTGTTGAAATAATACCATCATTTGATGTTATAAAAAAATATGATGATGATGGTACTATTGTATATGTTATTTGTCCATTTATACCTTGATCATAATCATATGCATGTATTTGACCAATTATTGTTGGTATACGATTATTTTCAATTAAATCAAATGTATAATTTGTTTTAAAATGTGGTATTTGATCATTTATATCGGTTATATTTAATTCAAATGTCATAGAACGACGTAAACTTGGTTGGCCAAAATCACGTGCACGTAATTCAATTTTATAATATGACATTGTTTCACGATCAAAATTATGTATTGATTTTACAGCATAATTATTTGAACGTATTATTTCAAGATAAAATAAATGATGAGGTTCAATTGTTAATTGAGCCTAAAAATTAATAATAATAGTCGATATTATTCATGAAAAAAAAAATTGTATAGATAATATTCAAATAGTATTATATATTGTATGGGTGCACTCTTTAAAATAGGTGTTTAGTCTCTCGGAGTTGTAAATTATTCCATGGGAAGAGAAAATTTGGATAAAATATTACATTCAAATTAAAATACGATGTCAAGGAACTGTATTTTAATATATTATTATCGAATGTGAGTCAATATTTTCTTTCGATCATATGAGAAGATATAGATGAACTGTCAACTAGGATAATATGAAGTCAATGTACACTATAAATGATTTGATTTCATCTATTTTTTTTCTCTAATTGAATCAAGATAATATTTTTTTCTTAACATACTTTTCCACGATCATCTGAATCTTGATCATGTACAGTAACAAAAGCTAATGGTAAATTAATATCAAAAGATTCTTTTATATAAGCCATATTTCCATCATGATTATGTTCAAATATAGGATTAAATTTCATTTGTATTGATGGTGCATGATCATTTTGATCAAGTACATATATATGAATAATACAGGTATCACTTAATGGATTAATTCCATTATCATGTACTTGAACATTTAATTGATACGTTTTATGTAATTCATAATCAAGTGCTTGATTTAATCTTAATATTCCAGTTATATTATTTAGATAAAAAAGATTATCATAATTATTTTCTAATATATATATTAATTCAGCATTTGAACCAATATCATCATCAATAGCATGAATTTTAATTAAATATTCTGGTATTGTATTTTCAGCTATTGTTATATTATAAATAGATGATTCAAATCGAGGTCGACAATCATTTATATCACTGAACAAAACAAAAAATTTAATTTTCAAAAGTATTTTGTTTTAAAAAAGATTCTTTCTCTTACAGAATTTCAATTATTAATGTTTGTATACCAATATTTGGTGGTTGTCCTCGATCAATAGCCATTAATTTAAATAAATATTTTTCATTTATTTCACGATCTAATTTTTCTTTAACAATTAATTCTAATTCTCGACTATGATTATCATAAACAATTGAAAATTGATATTGTTCATTATCATTCATAGGTTCTAAACGATAATAATCAATTCCATAAGATAATGAATCTAAATCAATAGCTATTTCAAGTGGTATACGATGTCCAATAGGAACATTTTCAGCCATAAAAATTTTTGATTCTATTTGAGAAAATTTTGGTATCATATCATTTATATCATGACATGATATTGGTTGTGATAATATATAATTATAAGGTGTTTGATTAAGATTAACTGTTAATGTTAATGTAAAATTACATTCATAAATATTTCCACCAATACATAAACGTTTTTGTACATAATCTTCACGATCTAAACGAGATTTTAATCTTATATATCCATTTGTATATTCAAATGGTTGACTTGGTTGACTATGAAGTAAAGCTGCTTGATTTGGATGTACATTAAGTGTTTGAAATATTGGACGAAGATCAACAACAATAGTTGATATTGGACTTTCTTCAAATATTGATACTGATGGAAGAATTTGTGAAACAATTGAATATGAATATAAGATAAAAAAATTTATGTATATCAATATGCTGAACAACATGTTCATAATAATGTATTGAGTATAAGAAACGAACAAACATATATCTATCTATAAAGAAAAAAAAGGAAGAGAAAAAGAAGAGGAAGAAGGAAAGGAAAGAAAAAAGGAAATAGCACAAATCAAAGGTATTAGTAGCAAAGAGTGCTCTTTTAGATTTGGGCTTTTTTCTCTCCAGTTATTGTTTATCGATAATTTTTCAATGTAATAGTCTTGAAACTAGTACACATCTATATAGTAGACATCTTTAGTTTTGTTTGTTGGTAGTAATGATGGATACGACAAGTGATCGTCTGTCTCGCTTATAATATGGTTCAAGGTTTTTTTTGGTAATACAGGAAATTGTTATAGGGTTGTATATATGAGGCGGGATTCTCTCTTTTTTTTTTCTTCTTTATGCATGAACGAAGTATTCGTCGTCTGCTTTATAGTCACGCAATCGTATAAGTTCGTCCATTCAGACCCTTATCTTTAAGTGATTTGGTCAATTGTATTTACCCCCCCGTCTCATCATACATACTCACACAAGGGACAATGATTTTTTATGCAATAAACGGAAATAATCTGTCCGTTAAATTTTGACACGAAAGAAAATGAGATTTTTCTTTTTCTCTATTTTCTATAGAAGTACATAAGATGATCTGTTTATTTCTTTGCGACATCGATCGTCTGTTTATCTCTTCAATACAGATGGACATGAAAATGAAGCCATATGTAATGAATTCTCTTTTTCTATAGGGCAATAATCATCTCTTTGAACAACATCAGAGATTTATGGTTAAGAATATATAGACATATATAGACGTTAGGTGTTGGATGTAGTAAATTGAATCATTTATTCTTTTAACTTGTGTAATGACAATTGATATATGGGAGTAGTCACAGATGTACTAAACATAGTCAAAATAAACGAATAACGATTAAGCCCTAATTGATAGGATGTCATCATGATACATAATCATACTAGTGAACATGGAAGAAACTTTCCCGATATTATACCATTGCATGTCTACTTATAGAAAATGTTTTTCTTTTTTTTACTTAAGATTAAGATGAAATTGACACATGCAATATAACATCGATAGCTAATGATGCATGCACTTTAAACTTATTATGATTTACCTTGATGACAACAAAAAAAAAAAAAGAAAAAGAAATAGGGGAGGGATTAATGGTCAACATTGCATGATATTTGCAATCATAATAATAATATTTTAAAAGATGAAGCAAAAAAAAAAAAAGAAAGCAGGTGACCGTAGCATCTATTGAGAATCGACCAAACTAAAAATTAATTCTTACGTAAGATACATATAAACCACAATGGATTTCGCAAGAAACAAAACCCTGAATAAACGTATAGGAGAAAAAAAAGATGATCAATGGATGTACTTGTAACAGCAGTATCTCTTCCCACCATAAGATTCTTCTCTTTAATATATATTATACATGGGATTGTTTCTTTCTTATCGCACGCGTCTTTTGTTCTGGTCAAATTGACTCGTTAATCGATATGTTGGGAAAAACTAATCAAATCTTTTTCTTTTTTTTTTCACATATACTAAAAGAAAGACAGAAAGAGAAAAAAAAAAAGAAAGTCATAACAGACTTCTGTCAAGCAAAACAAAGTTCATTTATACATGTGTATATGACCTTCATAGATGAACACAAGCATGCTCCTATTAGAACGGAAACACATCACATATAAACATTATTATTTATTAAGAAAGAAAAAAAAAATGTATATATATTTATAAATTTAATCAGTTACTCTTGATTAGAACTAAGAACTAATGATTGACTAAAGTAGCTGGTGGTTGAGTGATTACATCATGGATATCCTCATGTGTTCATAAATGTCAATTGCGCGTTAAAAACACAGCATGGATGAACGTGAGAAGACATCATTGTGTATATATATATGTTTGTCAATATTATAGCCTTGCTATGAACAAGCATGTGGTGTGTTTGTTGTAAATATAATCATATAATGATTATTTTTCTACTTTACTAAGCAATTATAAAGTTTAAATACTATACTTAACATAGATAAAAATTAATGTTCATATGTGAGTTAAAGTACAATGATGTACTTTTAATTTTACGTGTTTTTCTTGTTATTGAATGTAAGTCAAAGACATGATCAATGATCGATTGGCGTGTATTATAAAAGGTTGAACAGTTGACCAGTGTATAACATGTCAAAGCATGTAATCAAAAATGGACATTTTCTTCTTCAAGGATGGACGATCTAATGCTGTTGATGGGACTCATGGGAGTGCACCTGCTTGCCTAAAATAAAATAGAAACGTCAATCTGTGTGCATATGTCATAAATATTCTATTTCGATAGATGTGATGAACATACCTTGATACTTATATTGCATCGAAGAACATCCAATCATAATTTATCAAAAGTGTGTAAAAAGAAAATAGTATTTTATTGTTCTTGATGTTTATCTTTTGAACAAATCTTCACGAGAAAATTTGATCATTATTAGAAAATTATAGGATATTGTATTTCGTTATGGTTTGTTTATTTTTCATATTCAATCAACGTGTGCATCTCTCATTTTGATTACCGAACAGCGTAACATTCATGATATATATATATGAATACATTTTTTATTCATGGGAAATAAATCAGCTGTTATCTTTTATTTCAATTGCATTTTATTATAATACCTTCAATGATACACAAGGAGACAATTAAGTGAATAACGAGATGTTGAAAGAAATAAACTTTATAAATAGATAATAAGAAATGACTTCAAAGCTTTGTCGTCTATGATTACAAGGTTCTCTCAACAATATAAGTGAAATTATAAATATTGAACTTTAAAAATCGATAATTTTGGAAAAATGAGAAGAAAAAAAATTCAAATTTTTTAAGCGAAATATTCTTTGCATTCAGACAGAAGAAAGCTTGGGATTGATGAACAGCTCAACTATTGATGAATATAAATTTCTAAAGTTTCACAATGTCTTAGCGAATAATAGACAATAAGGCGTCAATCAGATCGTATTGTTACTATTGTGCAGATAGAGGAAAATCAAGAATAGAAATATTCTATGTGCTGTAAATCTCGTCATGTGAGAAATTTATTTTGACATCATCTGATCAAAAAGTAAATGTATATAAGGATATTTTAATGGATTTTTTTTCTCTCATATGCTAATAAATTTTGCTGCAGAACACTTGTAAGAATCATCTATTTTTATTGTTTGAATTTCTACAGAAATTTATAAAGCCGTGTAAAAAACATCTAATCCGTTCAAAAGTTAATTATTTTTTAATTTGAATATCTTTCATTTTTCATTCAATACATCAAAACTATAAAAAAGTGTTTTATATAAAAGAGTCGAAGATTTTCAAAAATAATAAAAATTTCAAAATTTGTTTTCATTTTTTATTAAGTTCAACTACTTAATCGACTAACCTTGCTACCAGCGACAAAAGTATTGCGAATCGTATATTTGATATAAAAAAGTTTAAAATGTGAATATACAGTGGCTCCAAAAATTATTCATACATGTGTAATTTCGATTTTTTTCCCTAATGGTAACTCCTATGAAGAATCCAAATAGTGATTTGGATTCTTCATAGGAATTACCATTAGGGAAAAAAATCGAAATTACACCTGTATGAATAATTTTTGGAGCCACTGTACAAAGTATTGATATATAGTTTGCGTTTTTCTCGATACTTTTTCACATAACATTTGTATATAAATCATTGCATGCTTCAATGGTCACATTCTCTAATGAAGACTATAAGGTTGAAGTTTGCGAAAAATTGAACTCGTATAAAACATTATCCAACCTTGTCAGGACCATAGCATAACCAATGAACTAAATTTCTTTGAGATTTTATATTTAATGTAGACAGTATGCATTGCTGATGTTTTCTGCAAAATTTTTAAAATTTCTTTATAGTCATTTTCAGTCCACACAAATTTGAGTCAAAACTCGATTAAGAGCCACCGTCAAATCAACCATTGGAATATCTCCAGGAGACACGCGTAACTTGATCCTAACACAGAAAATCAAAATATTTTGCAGATGTGATCTAATTAGGATGATAACTATTACATAGATGTATTCACCGAAGTCTCTTCTATGTCATAGAGAAAACTGTACTTCGATATAATTTCATGTTTGTGATTTAGTCAAAAATTAAGAAACTTGACAAAATCATACTTTATAAAGTACGTACGATGGGCCTGAATAAATTAAAATGAAGAATCTAAAATCATAAGGAAATTGTTCCATCCATCAACTATATACTTAATATTAAAAATATGATTTGTAATATTTTTGTCATTGGTAGTTTCGTATTTGAAACATTCTTCGTTGATAGCAATAATGAAATGTTCTGAATGATACTTCAAATATTCAACAAAAATATTGTTTTATATTACAAGTCAAAGAACAAAATACAAGTATAAATATGAAGTAGTCTTCTCAAAATACAAATGCAAATACTTTCTTCCGAGTTTTGTATTACAATAAGAGTTAGTTTCTATTAAAACTCTTTGTAAAGCAATCTGAGCCAATCAACATTGTTTTGCATTTTAAGTTTAATTGAATATCAATTGAAATATAATATTGACTAAAATATTATTTTAGACCTTGTGAAACGATCTAATAATTTACCTCAGAAAGAAATTCTCAATAAATATTGAAAACGTTTGATTAAAATCAACTACTTCTGGCTATATAATCAAATGCTTTTTAAGTAGTCAAAACAAAAAAAAAATTACTGAATATTTTGTGCCAAAATTTTCATGCCATAGGCTATTTGAAATATAATATTAGTTGACTTTGATATATTTGCTTGAAATTTTCATAATAATTATCAAGGAAATTTTTATTAATTTTATTTAATGTCGTGACAAATATTTTAGAACATCCTATAATATAATCACCATCATGGTTAACAAAACAAACAACAATATTATAGACATCAACAAGGAGAAAGATATTTATAAAAAAAAAGTCAATATTGAAACTTCATGCAAATGCGAGGTCAACGAAATATGTATCACATAATTGAGTAAATAACTTTCTTTTGTTTCATTATTCATCTTCACTTGTCCTTAATAGTGATTGTCAATGAATATAATAAAAAGCAAACAATATAAATATGACGAAAGCAAAAAAGAAAAATATTTTATTATGAATCACGCTTTAAAAAATGACGTAGAGATAAAGAGTCACGATATAATGAAAATTAGTTTTTATCATATATTTTTTTGCTTTAATCGAATATAGAATCTCTTAGATATTCTAAACATGTATTTTATTTAGTAATTTTAATTCTTCTTATAAATCACGCACATTCTATTTACTATATACATGCTATAGTTTTATATTTATGGTCTACTCAAATTTCTTGTAATACGTTACAAGAAGGACGTTGATACTTCATCCGTTTGAAAAGAAAAAGAGTATAATCACCTGTTTATGATGAGAAGAATATGAATGAAATATTGAATATTGATCTTTCAAATCTTATCAAAATCGAATACTTATGTGTTAGACAAAGATAATAACTTTCAATAATACTTCAATCGATACCAAAACTTCACTATATAATTATTTGTAGAGCATAAAAGTGAAGCTATTTTACATTACTTACAAAATAATATTTTCTCTCAAACCTAATATCTTAAATTGAATCTTATAATCAAAGCTGAATGAATCGTAAAATGCTCATTACCTCTCCTGATTTTATCATATATAAAAAAATACATAATATTGTCTACTTGGACTATTTTCAATTAATACATTTATTATACTTAATCAAATTAAAAGAGCGTTTCTCTAACGAAATAATATATAATATTTCTAAAATATTGATTTTAAATGAAAACATTCATCTTAGCAAAAAAAATAGAAATCATTCTAATTTAATCAAGTTTTTCTACTAATGATATTCGAAAAATTAAAAATATCCTTTTTTACCATACGAAACATGAGTAAGCAAACGTGATCAACTTTTTCTTTTTATTTTAAAGTTTTTTTTTTTTTCATAGATGCATATCATCATAATCATTAGTCATCTGTTTTTTTTTTATATCGACAATCATATAAATAAAATCCATGGTCATTCATGCTTATATTTTACATGTTTTTAGTCCTCGATCATACATAAACCCTTCTTTTTTTTCAATTAATTAACATAACACCGAGCAAATACGTTGCGGACCGCGAACAGAAAAATGAAAGAAAAACTTAGATGAAGGTAATGACATCAGCAAATACGTTCTTTCTTTCTTTTTTTCGTCTAACGAAACTATACTCAGTAAAGGATTCGCTTGAATAATTTTCCTACTAAAAGACACTCAATATATGAAATGAAAAGAAAAAAAAAAAAAACTTCAGCATTTTGTGTATCATTTTATAACTCAATAGTCGGAAACAAAACAGCAACAACAAATGCATAGACCTCGTGTTATTATAATGCGACATTCCGAACGATTAGATTCAGTTTTAAGAAATAATAATTGGCCACAAGAAGCTTTTATAAATGGTGTTTATTCACCACATCTTACACAAATGCCAACTATTTTACCAACACGTGCAAATCCTCATGAATACGCACTTGATACACCATTATCAAGACATGGTAAAGCTCATGCTCATCATACAGGTGAATTTTTTCGTTCACTTGGTTTAAAACCTCATCGAGTATATACATCTCCAGCAATGAGATGTGTTCAAACAGCTGATGCTGTACTTGATGGTCTTGGTAGACGTGAAAAAATTCCATTAAGAATTGATCTTGCTCTTCATGAACCAACAAGACGACAATTACCGTTACAATCAGCAGGATTTTTTTCATCAGCTGGTTTTTTTGTTGATTTACATTATCGACCTGTAATATCATCATCGCATAATAGAGCTATTACACGTGAATCACGTGCAGCATATTATAGACGAATGTATACTGTTTTAAAAAGAGTTACGACGAAACTTATTCAGCAAAGTAAAAAAAAATCATCGTCATCATCACCACCAACAGTTCTTATTATTACACATCGACCATGCGTTACATTACTTGGAGCTATGTTAAACATTGATACAGTTGATGATAAAGTAGCTTATCTTAGTGAAATGGAAGGTAATAATAATGGTGAAGTTAATTTTCTCTCGATGATTATTGCTGAATACGATGCTGGAACTGGTTTATGGATGTTTTTATCTGATTTTCCTCAACTACCCACTACTTCATTACTAACAACACCTATGCTAAGAGCTCAGTAAAATTTTCTAATCGAAATGTATATCATAACGGCGTTTCTTTCGTTAAAATAAAAGTAAACGAATGAAAAAAAAATGATTATTCACCTTTTTTCTACTGATTGGTTGATTCACTTCTTAGAGGCTAAATAGGATTGTTTATGACGAGTTAAAGTGGTGATGTCGCTCAATATTCACTTTTTTTTTCTCGATTCTGATTGATTTGATAGACATTCGTTGGTTGGTTTCACTATTCAGCATGTAAATTTTTGCATTTTGCCAAAAGAAAAAATTTAAATGAAAGACTTTTTTCTTGTTTTTTTATTATTTTGTTTTTAGATCAATTGCCAAGAGAGATCATCGTAGTTTTTGTTTTGTTTATTAATTTATATTGTAGAATATCTTTTTTTTTTGTCACAATCAGGTGAGAATTCTTTTTATTTATTTCTTTATTAAACTTCATTCATCTCTCTTTTTTTTTCTCTTTGATAAAGATTGTGAATGACATATAAATGTGAAATCATCTTTCATCCTTTTTTTGTTTCTTTCGTTTTATTATTAAACTTGTCTGTTTATTTCCCATTTGGATTTATGCCAAGGAGAGAAAAAAAAATGGATGAATGTCTATGTCGTTCAATTAGAAGCCTGTTCGATGTTGTCGTCCGTTCTCTTTCTTTTCTTTCGGCTAGACAACAAATTGTATCTCCGTCTCTCTCGTTCGGCTACTACTCATTCCCTTGCTGGTCAACGTTCATTGTCGGTCACTCTCTATGTCTACTTAATGTATGAGTGAATGAGAAAAAGAGAACGCAAGTTTTCAATATAATAAGTATGCGGTCGGGTGCGCACGTTTGAGAGTTACTATTACTACTGTTGGTGCTGTTGCTGCTCTCGAGCATTAGTACATCTATCTCTCTGTCTGTATTAAACGTGCATGAAAAGAGATGTATTGAATGAAAAGGAAGAATACATGCGAATCAATATGTTCGATATGAAACATACAGAAAGAAAATAAATTTTGGCGGTAAGCTACTCTATTGATCTCGTTGTTCATGCATTTGTTCATTCAAGGTTCTTTTTTACTGGTGGCTTCCAAGCACATATAAAATAGTAGACTTGTCATATTTTCTTTCCGGTTTTCTCTCTCTCTCTCTCTCTCTCTTTCTTTCTCTCCGTCTTGCTTGCATGCAATCAAGTGTATGTGAAATGGATTCAATTCGAGAGAAAGAGAACAAGTCTATTTACTGAATACGAGAAAAATCGTACATTCGCATTGACTACCATATGTCTTATGTCTTGATAGTCAAGAAAAGACTATTACATACTACTTATACGAGAGATAAATAGAATGCACGAGCTATCGAATGATAGTATAGAGAGTGAGCGATGCTGATTAATAGGCAGATAAACATTCTATGTAGGCGTTAGTAAACGTGTGTATACATAGAAGAAGCATAAACCTACAAAAAAAAAAATTCTATTTGCTAAGATAGAAAGGTGTCTATACACATTTGACCAGGCGTTTTTGTTGTGTTTGTATCCGTCGAGTAAACTAAGGCATCTAGTTATAGTAGTAAAAGATTAGTTTGTCGAACGAAAAATGTTATTTGTATATATACAGTATCTTTAAAGGATTCATATTCCTATTTTGTTTCATGATGATTAGTTTTCTTTTCCTTTTTTTTTTCTAAATTGAGGTCGACTTTGAGATGTATGTATCGATAAGATATTAGTGTTGATTCATTTATTTATTTGTGTATATATAAATATACATGTTAGACAATTTAATTTCATCATTCGACCTTTGTTTCGCTGTGTGGGATGTGACGAATCGATAAATAATCAATATTTCATCGTCCCAAGAAAAAAAAAAAAAATACAGACATCAACCTAATAAAAACCATATTTTTCATTAGAAGGCCAACAACTTATTCTTTCGTTTTTCTCTTTTCCTTGTATTCGCTCGATTGCCTATGCAAACGAGCCATAACTTCTCAAGTATTAGTGTTAGAGTCTTACATAAGACTATTTCAACAAGTGTCACCTGTCACTTGGCAAAGAGATTTTTTTTTTCTTTCACTCTTTCTTTTGCTTGCTCTTTTTTTTTTTTTTTTTTGTCGAAAAGCAAACATCTATTCATTGTTTGACATTTACTTTATCTGATTTAATCGCATAACCTTTTTTCTTTATATTCTAGTTGTTTAATATTAAACATCATTTATTTGTAACTACAAATGCCCGGCGAAACAACGACAGATGATCCACAACGTGAACGTCTTGTCTATACATATACATATACATCAGACGGTGATAATGGTCAAGCACCACAATCAAATACAGTTAAAGTAACAACAACAGTTGAAGAAGAAACAACACCTGATGGAACAAAAGTTGTACGTAAAAAAGAAGAATCTCAACAAGTATCAAAAGTAACAAAAATACAAAAAATAACACGTGTACATCGTCATCTTATTGATCCATTAACTGGTGAACTTATACGACAAGATGATCCAAAATATCAAGCATTAATTGCTGAATATGGTGAACCAACACCAACAACATGGTCAGATGAACATATTGTTTATGAAGGTAATTCAATACCAACAAATGGTATTATAACAAAACATGAAACAAGTACTGGTTTTTCACCAAATTCATCATTTACCCAACAAAAGTAAATTTAGAGATTTGTTTTTTAATTTCAAAAACAAATTTTATTATTTTATTTAAATTTAGATCTCGATTACGATCGAATGAGGAACATTCACCATCATCAGCACGTTCATCTCAACGATCAACAACAACAACAACTACTACACATCATCATCATCATCAACAACAACAACAACAACCACAACAACAACATTCAAATTATGAACAACCAACAAATCGTATCGATCGAAGTACATATGCATCTGGTGGTGATAGAAGTGAAACAGGAGTAGCAGTAACAAATGGATCAAAATATGATAGTCGAGAAAAATACTTAAATGAACGATCATCAGGAAGAATACCACCACAACATTTGAATGGAGGTGGACGAAATGGCTATACTCATGATAGTCTTGATCAACGTTATACTGGCACACGTTATAATGAACCAGAAAATAATAAAAGTTTGTTTTTATTTGAAAATTAAAAAGAAAATTTTTTAACATTAAATATACTTTTGTTTAGCTAATACTGATGAAAAAATTATTGATTATGATCCAAATGATCCAAATTTAGTTGATGAACCATATCTTGATGTTGAAAATCCTTATGAAGGTTTAGTTCCAGGTCGACCAGATAGTATTGGTCGTGCACTATTACCAACAGCTGGACGACAATCTCCTGATAGTATTGGACAAGGTAGGAGTTAGATAAAAATATGTTCGCTTTTGGGGCACTATTGCTTTTATTATATTCAAATAAAAAAAAAAATTGTTTTCCTATAAGTGTTTGTATATGTATACCTATCAATGTATTATCATCGTATAATATTTCAGCCCCGCCAGGCTATGGTGAAGATTATGGTACACTAAGTCGTATGTATGCATCATATGGTTTAAATGATGATGATTATCATTCTCGACGACGATCACCTTCAATAGATACAGAATTTCGAGGTATGATTCAACCCTTGCTTATTCTTTTTTCCTTGCTTTGCTTTAGTTTGCTCTGTTGTTGTTATTTTTTTTCTAAATTATTTATTTTTAATTTTAATATATATATTAATTAATTAGAACAACGTTGGCGTGATCCAGATTTACAAGAAGTTATTGAATATCTTGGTCATACAAGTGATGTTATTAAAGAGAATGCAGCTGCTTATTTACAGCATTTATGTTTTAATGATGATAATATTAAATCTAAAACAAGATCATTAAATGGTATTGCTTATTTAGTTGCTTTACTTCAACATGAAAAACCTGAAATACAAAAAAATGCTTGTGGAGCTTTAAGAAATCTATGTTATGGAAAACGAAATGATGAAAATAAGGTTTTGCAGAGAAAAAAAAACAACAATGAAAGTAAAAATAAAACTAAAGTTTTTCTTTTCATTAGATTGAACTTAAAAATCGTGGTGGTATTCCAGCATTAATTCATCTTTTACGTCGAACACCTTATGACGATGTTCGAGAATCAGTTACAGCTGTTCTTTGGAATGCATCATCATCACCACAATTAAAAGGACAAATACTTGATGAAGGTTTACATGTACTTGTTAAAAATATAATTATTCCTTATTCGGGTTGGGATGCTGATGTTAATCGACGTTTAAATCCACAAGGAAAATTTCCACCTGTATTTAAAAATGCTACCGGAATACTTCGGTAAGTTAAAATGAACAAAAAACAAAAAAATTTGTTCATAGATTAACAGAATTGTTTAGTTTATTGCTTTAAGTTAATATTTACATAAAACAGAAATGTATATGTCAATAATACATTCTTTTACTCCATTAAACGATTTTGAAAAAAATGATAATTTGTTATGTAAAAGAGACTTGAGTGTCAAGTTTTCTTTTCGATTAAGAAGAAATAATAATGATTATGCTAATCAATAATGTACAAATATTAGTTTTTTTTTGTTCTTTGACAAATCTTAAAAGATAGCTATGTATATCTTGTGAAGATAAGCATTTTATATTGGATTATAAAATCTTATTTTATACAAGAATCTTTGATTTACTAGATTAGGTCACATCGTAAAATACTCACTAAGAGACTGTCGTATCGTGAATCGAGTTAATACATGAGGACGAAATGTTGTTAAGTTTAATGCGAACATCGATAGATTGATTAATCAAATAAACATACATAAGATCGTATAAGGATCTTGTACGATAGTAAGACCTTGAAAAAATTTTATATGAAAATTTGATACAAGTCATTATTGTTTAAGTGAAAGAACGATCAAAATTAAAACAACATAAAAATGATTTTTACGGACTATAGTGCGAGATTTTTACTTAAGAAGAGAATCTCCGAGATTAAAAATACGCAATAAGAGACATTTGTAAGTGCATATTTTTTCTTCTTCTTCCGGGACGGGGATCAAAAGTAATTGTTCCCGCTCACATATATATTCTTAAGTAGCTCATCAAAATTGAATCGAGAAGAAAGTTGCAAGTTTTCTTCTTCTATACTTGAAACTTTGTACACAGACAGGTCTTAATTTACCATAGCTGCATTTTAGGATAGAAACAACGAAAAAAAAAAAAAAAAAAATGAAACTTTCACAATAAATTATTCTTGTTAAAATCCGTATTAATGCAAAGCGTCAAAGTCGGCAATTGATTTGTCTGGTGTTTCGAAAGAGGAAGCTAAAGGCCTGAACTTTTTTCAAGATATATCAAATCAGAATACGATCATAAAAGTTCAAGGTCTTTTCAATTCTTATTATTAAATAAAGTTCATTTGATGACATTCTCAATGAAACTTGTTATTTATTTATTTTTCTCTTTAAAGTAATTGTTCATCAGCTGATTATGATGGTCGAAGTAAAATGCGTGATTGTGAAGGTTTTATTCCATCACTTCTTCATGCTGTAAATTCCAGTCTTCAATCTTTAAATGAAATTGATAATAAATCAATAGAAAATTGTATGTGTATATTACGTAATTTATCATATAAATTACAAGAAGTTATTGATCGTGATTATGATCGAAATTATCCAGCTATGGCAGCTGCATCAACATGGAGTATGACACCATCACAATATACTAGTGATCAAGAAAAAAGTAAAATTGGTTGTATGGGTTCAAAACAAAAGAAAACTAAACAATTATATGATCAAACAGGAACAAATATGAATACAGTTCATGCTATAATGGCACCACGTGATGGTCGACCCGTTGAAATGCTTTGGCAAACAGATGTTATTGGTACTTATGTACATCTTTTACGACATAGTAGTAATCCTGATACACTTGAAGCAACAGCTGGATGTATTCAAAATTTAAGTATGTATTATACAAATAATAAAAAAAAAACGAACAATAAAATAATTTAATTCGTGTGTGTGTGTGTTTTTCTTTTGCAGCTGCTTGCTATTGGAAACCATCGATAGATTTACGTGCTGAAGTTCGAAAAGCTCGTGGCCTATCGGAATTAGTTGATTTATTACGTGTTGAGGAAAGTGATGCTGTTGTTAATGCATCAGCAATAGCTTTAAGAAATTTAGCAATTGATCCAAAAAATCGTGATGTACTTGGTGGGTGGGCTATAAAAGAACTTGTTGCTGTTTTACCTGATCCATCAGAACAGGCAACAAGTCGACGTCGTCATACTGATGAAACACTTACATCAGTTCTTGCTGCAGTTAATGAAATAATTCGCACAAATGATACAAATGCAAAAATTTTATTTCAAGAAGGTGGTGTTACGAAAATGACCGGTATTATGAATGCAAAAGGACATATTTATAATGCTAAAGTTATTAAATATACAGCACATGTACTTAATACAATGTATAAACATCGTTCATTACATGAATTATATAAACAACATGGTTATAAAGAAAGTGATTTTATACATCATAGATTATTAAATTCTAAATCATTAACATCAAGTCCACAATCAACATTACATAGACCGAGAGGTGATATGGGACAACCAACACATTTTACATCCAAAGGAAAACAAATTACTCGTCCGCAAAGTAAAACAAGGACATTTTATGTGTGTAAGAATTGAAATATTTCGTTTGTAGGAGGAGAAGAATATCGAATGCAAAAATTAAACCAAAGTATGGATAATCTACAAAGACCATATGGAAATGGAGTAAGTATTAAGAAGAAAAAAACAAAATTGTATTATATTTGAATCTAAATAATATATTCTGAAATATTTGGAAATAGTAAAATCTCGAAAAACAAAATGAGTCTTAAAAAATGTAAAAACTATCTTTTGTATAATCATAGGAATGCTCATCAGTTTTTCTCTTCTTCTCAATACTTTAATTTAATTTCATTGTTACAAACGTTTAATAAAATCTAATATAAGCATTCGAACAAATTCTTTCAAGACATCTTTGCCTATTAATACGACATAGTGTTATAATAAAAACTTTAAAAAGATTTTGATTCCGATTGAGATTTGACTAAGGTATCGAATTTTGATCTAAAACTTTCTATATGTGCAAAATTTAAGATCAAAATTCAATAGCTTACGCAAATCTCAATCGGAACCAAAATTCTTTTAAAGTTTTTTTTATTACAACACTATGCAGCATCTATATACAAAAAAAAAACATTGAAATCGAAAATGGGCATTTGCGAAGATTCCTTCGTGAGTGATTACTATATTCATTCTGTACTTTATCTTGGTTATTCAAGGCTAAACATTCGAGCGTTTGACCTTATCGTATATTTATTACACTAAAGCAAACATTTTTTTTTTGTTTGAATTCATGCCTGTTCTATATCTATAAAACTGGAAAAGAATCAGAGAGATATTAAGTCACTCCGAAGATGCGAAATACTTTTTATCGATTATTCCACTCGACTTGAAGTTGGTAACAAAAGGTTTTTACACCATTAGATTAAGTATATTTCAATCGATGAAAGAATGCCTTTCATTTTATCACCTGATGCCAGTCTAGACGTACACTGTGTCCAGGTTTCGAATCAACATGATGAGCATCTCTTGTTAGATATAGGATTCTGTATTCAGTTTAGCTGGATGACATCTTTCGTAAAAGATATCAACTTTTTATCATATTAGATCTTTTAAGATTATTCTTGATGAAAAAATCATTTTTATTTTTAGACAATGTCATCTTATGGTGATCCACATGCCGATCTCTATGCTACTGTACATAAAAATCGACCACAGCAAGTTCAACCGGCTACATGGGATCAACTTGGACAAGCATCAACATCACCTGATTCTTGGGTATAACGATTTTTGTTTTACTTTTTAATCCAAAAAAAAAATGTCAGATTTTTATCACTAAAAAAAACAACAGAACGAAAATCAAAGCTTTTTTTTGTTTGTTTATTCTTAATTGTTCTGTGTTGTGCAATGCTCATTGAATTACCATCATACGCATATATCTTCTTTAATAAAACACAATGTACATGAGTAGTAATTATGTTTCGTGTGTTTGTACGTTTGTTTTTCTTGTCGAGTATCAATAAAGATGTGCGAGTTAATGAACACATCAAATTCGTTTTGCTTTCTTATCGATGTATATATAAAACAAAAGAAGTGTTATTTTCTCTTTACTCAGGTTTTTTGTGTGTGCGTGTGTTTGTTTATTCTTAATATTCTTTTGTCGTATTTCTTTCTTTTTTTTTCTTTTCTTTTTTATTATTAAAAATAAATCATCGAATAATATATGATTCTTTTAAAAGCATGTCTTCATTATATTTATTATGCAAATTAAAGATAATTTTCTCTTTATACTTAGGACAATCCAAAAGTAGTGGTCCAGATACCTTATTTTCGTATAGAAGGCTTGGAGAAGTTTTCTTTTCTTTTTTATGAGGTGATAGAAAAAACGAAGCTCTATTTTTCTGTGCTATTTGATCACTTTTCAACTAATATCATAATAATAAAATTTTGGTAAGAATGGTTTTTGTGTAAAACTTATAACTATCAGTTGATGTAGATTAAATGGCTACGCTTTGCATTTCAATTTTCAATCACTTAATGCGTTGTATTAAAAAACAAAATGTATCATAAGATGTAGCATGAAAAGCTGTACAATCTGGAAAGAATAGTTTATTCTATATATGAAAAAAGAAATTTCTCGTTATTGTAGAAAAAAATGATTTTTTCGAGGCAGCGAAAACTAATCGCATAGAATTTTGCCTTTGTTGAAACAAAAAGTATACAATTAAAATAAACTTTTCTTCGTAGATTGTAAAGCTTTTCATGCTGCATTTTGTGATATATTTTGTGTTTTTTAAATAAAAGATATCATGTAATAAAAAGATGAAATAAGAGCAAATGAATTCATCTTGTATCAAAAAAATATTGTTTTCGCACGGTCGAAATTTGATCGCTCAAAGTTTTGTTCATTTTGAAAACAAAAAGTGCAACTATAAAATAAGCCATCTTGTGTAAATTGTAGAGATTTTGACGCTACATCTTGTGTTATTTTTTTTTAATACAACATATTAAGTGATTGAAAATTGAAATGCAAAGCGTAGCCATTTAATCTACCTCAGCTGATAGTTATAAGTTTTACATAAAAACCATTCTTATAAAATTTTATTATTATGATATTAGTTGGAAAGTGATCAAATAGCACAGAAAAATAGAGCTTCATTTTCTCTATCACCTCATGAAAGAAAGAAAACGTCTTCAAGCCTTCTATACGAAAATAAGGTATCTGGGCCGCTACTTTTGGATTGTCCTAAGCAAATTGACTGCCACATCAAAAGCCTTCTTAGGAACAGGAAGATATGATTTACTGTCTTGAGTAGTGTGACCAAGTGCCGGTGTGGATGAGGTCGTTTTTATCATTATATCTCCTCCTGTTGTAGGAATTACTTCAATATTGACATCCTCTAAATCAACTGATTGCTGGTTTGCAGTTGACTCTTCAGGTTGAGGAGAGCTATTTTCGGTAGTGTGGCCTAGCTCCGCTGTGATTGAGATCTTTGTTATTTTCATATCTCCTTTCGTTTCAATAGTTACGACAATCTTCTTTCCAGAGATGCGAAATCCAAATTTTATAAATTAGGAGTTTTTCCTAAAAAAGCAGCATTTTATGAATAGATTTCTTTGTGGGAAATCAGGGGGAAAATCAGAAGCTTTATTCCAAAGAATTGCTACACAATAAGAAGATTTTTTCAGTAAAATTTGGTCGAAAATATCAAGATTATGCTAAATTTGGTTTAAAAAAATTATCAGACCGTTATCTCTTAGAGAAGGAAAATGATCAGTATTGCAAATTTTTGTGACTTGCCTTTATCAACTGAATAATGAGAATGATTATTTCACATGTGAAACAAAGGAAAGTGGGGCACAAATAAGTGCATATCTGAAAATCTCAAGGCTAGAGGCATGCAAATCTATCTATTTTGATCAGAATACAATGCCGGATCCATGTTTTCAGCCACAAAAAAAGTTGAAAAAAAGCAGTCAGAAGAGCTCTGAAAACAACAAAACTGAGCGATTTCACGGGTTTCTGGAGCGTTTCTACTTCAAATTCAGAACGACTTTTACTAGAAAAATATCGATTTCTTGATCGGTAACAATTGAAACATCCAACCATAACAAAATCTAGTGAATGCCATCTATGTGATATTTGTTGATACTCCATTTACTATAATAGTTATCAAAGAGCACTCAAGATTTTTTCGTTTCGGGAATTTTCTTTCGACACGTTTTATATTCGAAATTTTCACTGCTCCAAGGTTTTTAGAATTTTATTTTAGAATTATTAGGCATCTCTGTAATCGAATATATTTTATTGTGCTAGTATTCTCATATTGGCTCATTTATCGATGACAAGAAAGTAAGCCTAATTATTTTATAAGACATGAAAAACAATAAAAAATCACAAATCGAAAATGCAAACTAAACTATTTAGGACTTAATTCTCACGATGCCAGCAGCATGACTATATTTTTCTCGTGAGAAAAATTCTTTTTTTATGCTATTCTTCTCGACTTCTGTTGTCGCTGAAATCGAACTCGCCAGAACTGAAAATAAGGAGAAAATGCTAAAAATCAGTTCCTGAAATCAGAAGATTTTTTATTAGCAGAAAAATCCAAAAATCAGGAGTCTCCTAGTCAAATCAAGAGACTTTGGAAGGCTGCTTCTTTTTTAAACAAACAAGTTGTTGGTCTGCAGTTGGTAATAGCATAGTTGACTTTTCAGGTTGAGGAGAATCATTTTTGATAATGTGGTCAGGCCCTGATATGAATGAAGTGGTTTTTGTCTTCATATCACTGTCCGTTGTAGAAATCATTCCAGTCTTAGTATCTGCGACGATTTCAGTTAGAAGAAGTATTAGTGATGATGATATTACACTTTATTCTAATCCTTCATATCATACAGTCGTATCGCTCTGACAAAAAGCACACGCTTATATATGCCAGCATCAGAGAGAGCGAAAGAGGAGGAAAGACAAGGACAAACATGAAGGATATCAAAGCGACAACAAAAAGCAAGCACTATGTCTAGGATAGAAGAATATTGTAAGGGAGCGTTAAATATCGCTCATACAATGCACTCCATTGGGACCATTACAGCATCTTCTCAATTTCTCGTTTTCTTTTTCGTGGTTGATGATATAACAGTTGATGTTTGTGATAAAGAAGAAAGCTTCTGTGTTTTTTCTGAAATGATTTTCGGGCGAGGCTTCTGGTCAGATTCAGAATCCAAAGTTGAAGAATCAATATTCAGAGTAGAAAGCTTTGTCAAATTCCACGTATCTCCTTTACAGGGAACCCACTTCTCTGCTTCAAAGGCGATCCACTTGCTCAAGCATGCCATATAATCTTTGGCATAAACAAAGTCTTGCCATGTCGGTGATAGATTGTTGTAGCCATAGNTTTGAAAAACTTTTTGGGGGGTAAGGGTGTCAGGACCTGACCTCTATTGTCATTCCTGTTGTCTTTCCACTCGATATATGATATGTCGTCGTTTTTCTTTTTTTGTTGTTTGTTATAACTTTTTCACTTTAAGAAAATAAACTATAATAGTCAGATACTGTATAACAGTAACTCATTGCCTTTTTTAAATTATCCACACTTTGGTGGTGCAGTATCTTACAACTCCTTTCAGATCGTGTTTCACGAAAAACGAGTTCGTCTTTTACCAAAAACAATCTCGTTTTCGCAACGTCGAAATTCAGTAACTCAGAGTTTTATCAATTTTGAAAACAAAAAGTGCAACTATAAAATAAACGATCTTTTATAAATTGTAGAGCTTTTCACGCTACATCTTGTGGTATATTTTGTTTTTCAACACAACGTATTATGTGATGATAAAATGAAATGCAAAAATGCCACATTTTTTATGCCATACCCATTATGATTTAAATGCTACCAGCTAGTTTTCAACAAAAACGTTCTTGTCGAAATTTTATTATTATGATATTAGTTGAATAGTGATCAAATAGCATAGAAAAATAGAGCGAAAGACGCTCTATCTGTTCATAAAAAGAAAAAAAATTTTCAAGCTTTCTATAAGAAAAAAGGTACCTCCGCCATTACTTTTTGATGACCCTAAGTAATTCAATTTGTGAAAATTGTGATGATGTCGTTTTAATAACAATTGCTGATGGAACTCTAGGTTCATGTTGAGTAACATGAACATAAGAGGCACTTTTAGTAATTTTGGTTTAATTGAAAATTCTTGAATTTGAATTTGAATGTGTTCTGAAGTTGATAATTATAATTGACATAAGTAAACTTATAGTTTATATATTTGCTCATGACTTGCGTGTTCTTCATTTAGTAAATTTGAATTCAAATTCAATCCTATTAGTGTATCATCTTCGTGAGCTAACTAAGATAGAAAGTATCTATTTAATTTCGAAAGCTAAAAGAAACTACATTAGATCAATAGTGTCAACAAACTGAGATATTTTTGTATTCTCAAAATGTATTAGGCGTTGTATCGAAATTTTATTTGAGTTTTTATTAGACCAATTTGTTGTTCATTTTCTTTTCCATGTTTAGTTAATATATCGGCAACATCTTTCTTTTATTGAATTTTTTAAGGTCTTGGTGTAGGCGTTGAATTTGCTGTTCACTTCATCCACATTGAAGCCACACCTATCCACTTGGAAAGAGCTAATGATAGACAATATTATTTAAAGAAAAGATGGAACTATCAGCACATTTCTGAAAGTGATCCGTGTCGGTCTCAGTGATAATTTTCATGAACGATAAAATGGAAAAGATCAGCCTGGATTTTGTGCTCATCAATCACCAGACTTAATATCACTAGAAGCTGATGGTAAGTTTATAGAGTAAAGAGTGAGTGAGAGTGAGCGTGTGAAGAGAATAAAACAACCATATCCTCACACACCTTCAAGCTACTGCACTTTTATTCACTGAAAGATGGTTAAGATAGAAAACTCACAGCACATATAAACTAGCTATTTTGGCTTATACTGGTAAATGCTGGTTTCTAGTTGACGTGCTGTTTGGTTGTAGATTAAGGGACAAAACATTCGATATTTGTTGTTTTTGTTAGGAAACTAATTCTATTCAACAGTCTTGCATACGTCGAATCATCTAGTACAATTGAAATGATATCATAGTCGGATCGCGCAAGAAAACAAATTATTTTAATTTTTACATTTTTTATAAACATGTTTAGAAGTGCCAGATGTTTAATTTTAGCTGCAACATTTCAGACGCGTTAGAAATGCATTGAAAATGTGTTGAGTTCTCCTAGAATATCTACACACGATGTCTATTACAATAAGAATCTGTTCTTCTTTCGAGGCATTGATTAGATTTAGCACTGAAATATCTTCTAGTTGTCAAATATTTTTAACGCAGTCACATCTCTTTGTTTCATTCGTAACAGACAGAAAAATTGATGTTTTTTTAAGCCAGACTTTTAACAAAACGTCATTAATAAAATGCCATCATAACAGCAAAATTCGTTTTGCGTTCTGTTTGTGCGTGGCTGGTTACCATTTGAGGAGAAGCGCAATAAAAAAAAAATCTCATCGATTTTATTTGGTTTCAACATCCACAAGGTCACGACAATGACGTATTGGGAAATAAATCATGATTCAACAGCCAACAACACATATTTCTGTTTCATGCACATCAAGCCTAGCAACAAAGGTAATATTTTATGAAGATAAAAAGCCGAAAGGTAAATCCAATTTGAAAAACGAAAATACCTGGTCTGAGTAATTATTTATGCCTCAAATATTTTTGATGTTTTAGATAGTTATTCTTGCATAGAGGATATCGCTAGATCATGTCCGCTAATACAATACTTGATGATCTAGTCCCAGTGACAAGCAATGACGATCTTACAAATTCTATAACAAAATTTATTGAAAAAAATGGTGTTGAAGGTCTGACAAGTTTTACTCAAGGGCAACTGGATCGATGGAGGCAATGTTCATTGAATATAGCTGTTACAGGAAATAGTGGCGTCGGTAAGTCTACATTAATTAACACAATTCGTTCTCTTCAACCGTATGACCTTGGTGCATCACCTGTCAATGTTATTGAGTGCACATCAGTACCGAAAGCTTATCCGCATCCAGAAAATGAAAACTTGAAATTTTGGGATTTGCCAGGTTTCAATATTGATAAAAAAAAAGAAACGCAATTTGTTCTTTTATTTGATTTTTCTAGGTGTCGGTACGAAGAAATGCCCAAAACAAACCTATATAGCTGAAATGAATTTCTATCAATATGATTTTTTTCTCATTGTTAGTCGAACACGTTTTACTGAGAATGATATGTGGCTTGCCAAAGAAATTAACAAGATGAATAAAGGCTTTTTCTTTATACGTACACAAATCGATGCTGATATCGACAACACTCAAGATGAACACGCAACATCATTCAGCGAAGAAACTCTATTGACAGAGATTAGAAATGATTGTTTGACTTATCTCGAAAAACAAAATGATCTTTCACCCTCAATTTATTTAATCAGTGGTAGATTAAATAACAATCAACGATGGGACTATCCTCGATTAATGGCTGATTTATTGACTCATTTTCCTCTCTTGAAACAGCATGCTTTCATTCTAGCTATGAGTCCCATTTGTAAAGATGTCGTTCAAACTAAGATAATTCATCTAAGAAAACGTATATGGCTTGTAGCAACAGCATCAGCTGCTGTAGCCATTATACCAGCTCCATTTTTGTCAGTTGGCTTTGATTTAACAGCATGTATACAAGAAACAAAAGTCTATCGGCAGCAATTGGGTCTTACAGAAGATGCACTGCGTCGATTAGGTGAACGTCATCAGATACCATTTGAACGATTTTCCAGCGCAATAGATGACAGAATTCCTATTCAAGCAATGGCGAGTACTGGTCAATTTGTTATATCCATTGCAAAATCAGTTGCCCATTCAATGGTAAAGCAAGAAGGTGCAAAATATATTCCATTTGTTGGATCAGCTATTGCAAGTGCAGCGTCATTTGGAACTACTCTATATATATTAAATAGTATCTTGAATGATATGGAAGAGGCAGCATTAAAAGTACAAGAGATTATTGTACAATCTAGTGCTAACTTTAATTGAATTGACTTGTGAAATATTTAACATGTTTGCAAAGTCTTGTTTTTTTTTATTTTTATTTTCAGATAGAAAATGACTTTTACACGATGGGCTTCATTAAGTATGATAAAACATCTAGAGAAAACAAACACGGAGCATTCATCAATCATGGAAACTGATTCATCAAAGAATTTCATTAACATATCAATTCTTAGTACGAGTTCAAACGCAGGAAAATCCATGTTAATTCGTCTTCTAAATCAAACAGGTTTCATTGAATCTACGAAATTCTTTTCAACAGATGAATACACACTTGTCAACAATAAATCGGTTATTCTACGAAGAATCTCATCGAAAAAAGGTAGATAAAAATCTTCTTCCATGTAGAGCGAATTAATATCATTCTTGTTTCGTCCATATCAATTAAAGATACAGATACCAAAGAATGGGTCATGAAAAGTGATATAATGCTTCTTGTTATTCGTGAATCTTCAACAGCCAATGATCGTACCATAGCTTCTCTTCGGCATGCATCAGAGAAGAAAACCTTATTTATTATTCGAACTCATATCAATGAAATTATTAATGGTGCTCAACGATATTCTCAATCAGCTTCAAATGAAGAAGAAACAGTAAAGAACGAACAAGAATTTCTTTGGTCTCAATATAAAGAATTTTTAACTTGTAAAGACGATATTTATTTAATTGGTAGTCATTTTAATCATAAGGACAAATGGGATTTTGAAAGATTAACAAAAGATTTAATTAGTAAATGCGAAATTACTCAACAAAAACAGATTGATCAGTCCATTACAGAAGCAAGTGAGTGACTCTTTGTTCTTCTCTATGTAGTTCAAGAAACAAAGTTTCATTATACATTCATTCGTTCGTAAATATATCTAGGATTTCATGCGATATGATTGTCGATATAGATATTGACTAAAAAACAAAAACTAATATTGAGTCATGAATATCTGTTTATTTTAGTAATCAATAACTAGATGTTCTTCTCTATCTACATAGTTTACATATGTAAAATCTGTTGAGTTATCAATGGCAGAATAGTAATTAGTTTAACAATGAAATCAGTATTTTGACATAAGTTCATGAAAAAAAAAAGACATCGACAAATTCATCTTGATTCATAGCATTAGAATACCAATGATTGACTTTAACAATATCTTTATCAATGAGACTCATGTTTTTGCTCCACTAAAGTTGACTTTATACTTAACTTGTGATAGGTCATGCCGAAGTTCTTCATATTGATTTGTTATCAGCTGATCCGACATTACCAGTCGATTTGCAATCACAAGATCAAATAAGTGAAATCGGTTTCGATAAAGAAAAGCAATCATTCGCCGAATATTTCGACAAGCATGGTTTAGATGAAATCGAACAATATTTTATTTCTCGTTTACGAGAATGGGAACAATATTCTCTTCATATTGCTGTGACTGGAAACAGTGGTGTTGGAAAATCAAGTTTTATTAATGCAATACGAGGAGTAACACCCAATAGTCCAGATGCGGCTAAAACAGGTGTTACAGAATGTACTCGTGAGCCTCAAGCTTATCCACATTCCATGCATCAAAATTTGACATTTTGGGATTTACCAGGTATAGTGGATATTTCACAATGAAAGGAGATTAGCTTACACTTTATGACGAAGATTCTTTGTGAAATAAGGTTTGATAAGGAATATTAAAGTATATAAAGAAAAAAATTGGATTTCACCCAAACCGCTATCGAGCACATTAAGTAGTGTTTACTATTCTCTATTGTTAAGAATGAGAAAATTTTTAGACAGTGCCTTGTAGTTACTAAGATTCGGAGAAATAAATTTCATAATCGATGTCTTGTTTTGATGAGTAATACGAAAAATTTCATTGGTAGGTTGTGGAACACCAAATTATCCTCGTGAAAATTATCTTGAACGCATTAGTTTTAAACAATTCGACGTTGTAATTATAATATGTAGTGGACGTTTTACTGAAGATGACGGTTGGCTAGCTGAAGAGATGACTAAAATGAACAAACCTTTCTTTTTTCTTCGAAGTAAAATTGATCAAGAGATTATCAATGCTCAACGTGATTCTCCTCCACCATTTGATGAACATGCCGTATTAGCAACAATTCAAAATGATTGTTTGCACCACTTACGCCAATATTCACATCATCGCAAAGTTTATTTAGTTAGTGGCAATCAAAAATACTTACATCGATGGGATATGGATAATTTTATGCATGATCTTTGTCAAGCATGTCCTCAATTGAAACGTGAATCTCTTGTCTTCTCAATGAATGCTCATTGTCGAGAAGCTGTACGAGTAAAAGTTGAATATCTTCGAAAACGACAATGGCTTGTGTGTAGTGCTATTGCTGCAGCTGCTATTCTGCCTGTTCCTGGTTTCTCCATGCGTATTAATCTTTTAGCTTGTTTGACTGAAGCAAAAGAATATCGTCAACAGTTAGGTCTACATAATGAAGCTGTCGAACGTTTTGCTACATTGAGAGAAATTTCATCAGAACACATTCGACAAACAATTAATTCGATTCTACCTCTTCTAGATGACAAAACTTTTGAAACATTATTTAAAAACACATTATTAACTCCTAGTGCTGCCTTCAGCCATTGTGTACCTGTTGTAGGCTCTGTTCTTTCCGTACAAACAGTCATAAACACACTGGATTATTTTCTTAAAATAATGGAAAAAGTCGCATTAANTTGGGATAAATGAATACTCCGATCTTTAAAGCGACATGAAAATAGCTTTTTATTTTCGTTTAACTTTGATCTTTTAGAGTTCGTTGTTGAATTAATTTATAATCATATTCTATAAGGATTAAAAACTATAATCTTATGATCAAACTTTACCTATTTAAAAAAATAAAACTATTATTCTAGATATTACTCTGAAAAATCCAAACAAATTTCAATGAAAATAGAGTGCGAGATCGGAGTATTCATTTATCCCAACGAAGTTATCTAGGAAACTATGCACACGCTCTCATGATCTAGTTTGAGTGACTTGTTTTTAGCGCTATGAGAAAGATCACTGTCGAAAACATAGATAAACGTGCGCCGGTGTGACTTAGTGTCTTCGTGACCAGACAGTAAGCAATAATTAAGTTAGGAAAAAGTTTATTTGTAATAGTTCTCTTGAAGGATATTCTTGTTTCATAAAGCTTCATCGACTCTGTTTCTTATTATTGGCATTATCGCAAGTTTTTCATTTCTCACAAGAAAATTTACAATTACTGCATAAAACTTTTACCTAGTACTAAACTAAAAAGGTTTCGCTACTGTTTCCGATTTCTGAAAATTTGTATCCAACCTAAGTATCGCCATCATCCTAACTAACTTCGAAGGTTCTCTCGTAACCGTGAGTGAGCTCTTCGTCACGATCAATTATGACAAATAAAAGCTTTTCTCTTCACATGGACGTCATTGTTATATGAAATAGTCCCGAATCCCTAACCGGCTGCATTTTATTTGTTTATTTTCTGATTAATCTTTGTAGACGAGTCGTTATTTCAATCAAGACTGCAATCATGACGAAGAAAAGGATGGTGTACTTCACAAGAAAATTTCTTAAAATATAAAATCACTGTTGCTCGCATTCTGTAGGCATACGTTCAAGAAGCCCACGCTAGAATATTCCGGCCTTAATTTGGTTTTCTGAAATGTTAAACTTCAGATTTTGACTATTCAGTTCATTCTCTGACGGGAATAAGCTCTCAGTAAAACTTTGCTTTCAGGTCTTGAGTCGGAACTTTACTACCTGATAGCTAGGGTGTAGGTGTGGGTGTTGTTCTTCCAACAGTCACACTCATGCGACACTTCACATCCACACCTACATCCGTCGTTTTCCGAAGCGACGGTATCTCTTCGACGCCTGATTGAAATATTCTCATAGCTTTTGTCGAGATGGTTTCATGGTGAGTTATCTGCAAGCAGAGTTTCAATTGAAGACTTGGAATTGGGGTTTGTCACGAGGCTCTGGAATTCACTGAAGGATAAACTAGGTATCCGAAATCTGTACCCATAGCCTCGAAATACTTGACCAGATTAGTAATGTCCTACTCTAGTGACCCCAACATACAGCCGGAGATAGGAGCAAAAGTGATTTTGTGAATCAAAATACACGCTCGTGTGTCTGACCGAGGGTGTGGGTGTGGGTGAGGAAGTGGAAGATATCCAGATCCGCACCCACACCCCACACCCTCGGGGGGAATCTACATCCAGATTTAGAGGTCGAAAATCTTATTAGATCGTGTAAATGTCATGATTAACTTGACTGCCAATCAAATGAATCTTCTGCAATCCGAAATGCAATCCTGTAGCAATAGTTTCGTACTCCAAAAACGTCCAATCGGTATCAGAAACCTGCCATAGTTCTCTCAAATCGTCTTGTCATTTTTTCATTGTCTGTAAAAGGCAGTATAATATGCAATGAGGTAGTGGCTGTTACTATTCTATTCAAAACATGACTTTTTATATTCTGCTAACAAAACAAAAATTCTGAAAACTTTGACAGTGACAGTTTCTTATCTCATTTAATTGAAACAGTGCAAACATTAAAATGTGTTTGATAAAATTATTTATGAATGACTCCAATTCATGTTTTTGCTTCTAGCTTTTTGGACCTATATAAACAGAATGGTCTATATTCAATCGGTTAATCATCCTGATCGATATCTTGCCTTGAATTCTTCAGATGGAGGCGTCAATCTTCTTCCTCTTTCCTCTGATACCATCGTTTTTGTAGTTCGACCATGTGTCTGGAAGCCAATGCAGAATACGTACCCTAACTTTGCTTGTGTTACTTTCGAATCAGCTAGTGGGAAGCCAGTTCAAATTCTTCAGCATGGTAACTTTCGTGTCTTTATGACTCCGTTTAATTCGAATGGGAAGGAAAATGAAGGTTATTTGGCCAATTCATCATTCATGCTTGTTGGTGATGGGAAAAAGTTTCGACTGATGGCTGTAGCATCGATGCAACTGAACACGATATTTTGGTTTCAGTGTTCTATTCCAGGCTACGAAATTTATATACGTGCGGAAAACAGTGGGATAGACTGTCAGCATTTTAGATTTGTACTCCGATAAAACTTCGAGTGTTCAAGCGGTGACATATTGATGCACCTAACTATTGCCTTCAGTGAACTCATGTAACTGATCGACATCGGAGAGATTATTGTTGATCGCCAATGTTATTTTAGATCATCCGAATCAATTATCCTTTGCTATAGAGACAGAAAAAAAGATATAGGAAATGATATCGAATCTAATGTACTCATTAAGAAAATTTTACCTTCACCCAATTTGATTTTAATGATCCATCTATCCATCTGAATGAGAGTGTGTTTAGGTGTAGCAAAGAGAAGATCCTCACACTTCATAACACACATTCATACCGACACCCGCATCCACACTTCACCCACATTCAAATGCTGAAAAAAATTGTCATATCTACAATAATAGACAACTACTGGTCGAATTCGTTTATGTGGCATACCTTCTTACATGTTTCTTTTTGTGTCTGAAATTGATTGGGAACCCAAGAGGAAGCCATATAACGGGGATTAGTCGTGGTTTTTTCGTGCATTCTAGAAATCATATCTAAAGATGAAGATGAGATGCTCGTTTTTAATAGCTCCATTTTTGAATAGTTCGTCAGAAGACGTTTCGTAAGTTTTAATGTGATTTTGGATCAACTGCATACATAATACATTTGTCTTAAATGTATGATCAGATATCATTCAAGTCGCTATGTTTGAAACTTTTCTCCCTCAATCTATCTGTTTTCGATGTTTTCGTTTTTTCTTTGAGCTTTCTTTATGTCAAATTAATAAAAATAATATAGCAGTATTTATTTCGTTAAAAAATAGAAAGATACACATTAAAATTAATCGATTCTTTCATGCGCTTTGTCTTCATCACAAGCGAGTTCTTTTATGTTTTGCTTCTCAGTTGTAGTCTGGTTTCCTTAACAGTGATTGCAAGAAGGTACAATGCTTCAGGAAACTTGACGGAGAATATGTCCATATTGTATTTGGGTATGAAAGATGTTCTGGGAGTTTGTGTTTCAACTTCAGCTAAAATTTCGCTTTGACCTTTTTCATAAAATTCATCAATAAGAAGATCAGGTGTGGATTTCAGTATGACACAACTTCCGTTCCAATGGATGATATACTCAGTCGTTAGCCATTCGGATTCCTCTGTAATATTTCCATTGATCCACTGATTTGATGATAAATCAACAATCGAGATCTCAGCCGAATATGTTAATGTCCATTGAGCGATTAATTTGCCGACGACTTGTTTCGATGGATAAACCACTATTTGATTATTTTGTTGATAAGAGAATTTTGATACAATACGATATTTAAGGTACTGCTCATTTTTATCATAGACAGAAAACAAACGTGACACGGGCCCGAAAACGGCGTCTTTCTTAATGACATAGCTGTGATCCAAACTGTGCACATAAGGAATAGTATTCACTATCAACACGGAAATCGACAGGACTACAGTATCAGCTAACATTGTATTTACGTCGAACAAGATTGATTTGTAAGTGCACGCAGGAGATAACTAATCTGATTTTTTTTTCTATTATGTGGCTATTGATGAAACATGTAATCAGTTTATGGTACCGAACTCTTTGTCAATACTTATCGATAATGAGACAACATGTAAAAGAAAATACTTCACAAAAAGCGAATATATTATATATACATCTCTTTGTTTTCGTTCTCCTAGGCAATCGAAATCAATAAGCGACACATTCAAATTAGAGGAAGATTCTATTGCAACTTTAGAAATCGTACATCTATGAATTGATTTGAAAACAAAGATTAACAACACGTCATTTACCTAGTATCATTCAAACATAGAGAATCCAACTATTTTGTCCAACAAATGCTTTTTTTTTCGACGAAGTTTAAAAGAGAGAAACTCATGCAGAAATCGACTTGCTTCTTTGCATCACCTCAGAATATGAATCGAAGCTGATTTCTAGTGAGGATTGACAATGGCATACACAACTTAATTTTGCTTCTCAATACATTCATATTATCCTCTTAAAATACATTCCGTTCTACAAATGTCACTAGAGTTGTAATTCCTTATTTCTGATAGTTTGTTCATCAGTGTTCTCGGGCTTTTAACATATAGGCATGTAGTCTCACACATATGATTATCAATTAGAAAGAAAAAACCTTTCTTGTTAGAAAATTAGTTTCAAAATTGTTGTTAGAGAAATACATGAAATGAGTTTTCTGTATTGCATCATCATATTCATTGATTAAGATTTATCTAAAACTGTTTTTTTTTCCGTGCACAAAAGCATGAGATCGAACTTTTATGACAACTTTGAATGTCAGACATCGCTTCATTTGTTAGATATTGGGTTACTCGATTTTTTCAGATAAAGAGTGAACAGTCGTTGAAGTTTACTTACTAGAAACACATAGAATGTTTTCTAGTAATCATTATTTAATGACAATCATGTGAATTGGTCATAGAAATTATTGTGCACTATTGCTGTTCATAAAATACTGAACTAAAGTGTTTCTTAAGAAACCTCACTTCATTTTCCATTCTTCAATAATTGCGATATTATTGATGACATTCATTTCATATTGGAAATCCATAAAATCATATGAAATAGCATTTCAAAACTTTTCTCTTCAATTTTAGCGAAATCCAAAAATTGTTTTATCAAAAATAAATCCATGAAAACGAAGAAATAACGAATTACTTACAAATGACTAAGAATTACGTAGTAAATAATATCGTTCGTTTATCAAAACTAATAATGATAGTAATGTAATAATCTTACTGAATAAAAATCTGTACAAAGACAAGAGAGAATTTTCGGAATTTATTTTAATTTTGATGGCTTGTCGAACACTATTCTTGCATCCTATGTGCAAATTTGCTGAACATTACGTAGAAAATCGTGTTTGAAGAATACTTGAGTGAAAGGCTTAGCTATTGTATCCACATTCTGAAGTTAACAGCAATATTCCGTGTCTTCTGATTGATTTAACAGTAACTTTCAACTGAATTGTACGTTCAATTGAACAGATGACCACAGAAAATGAAACGCATCTGATGTAAAAAAATCTGTCATAGACCAATCGATCGTGTACTTGAACAGAGTTTTACATAAGTCAAACATATGCTTCTGATTCAATCAGAAAAATTCTTTTCTATTGCTTTATGTTTAATATTAACATATCTATTTAATCGATTCTTCTTATTGTTCTTTTATTTGCTACGACTGCATAGCAAACGTATTTTTACCTTTCTTTTTTCTGTGAAGAATCTGTCTACATATATTGACATGAAAGCGTAAATTAGGAGCCAAAACTCTATTTTTGTAAATTCGAATCGACCATCAAAATGTTCTTTCAATCTGTAAGCATTGCTGTCTGTCACTCTTTTATAGATTTATTCCTCTACATGAATAAAGCAACGGCAACGATAACTGAATAAATTCAAATCAGCCTACATATTTTATTATATGATATGGCATAGATGCATTCTAAATGATAAATCAATCGGTAGATCAATAATTGAGTAATTTCTATAGGGTAATGAGTGATCATAATCTGTTTTCGGTATAGCTTTTCAGTTTCATGATTCGATAACTAGTACCAGATCAATTCGTTGCATGACAATCTATCATCGAGCATTACATAGCAGTCATGTCATCGTGCATTTCCGTATGAAACGATAAACCTATGCAATGCCGTTAGATATTTTCATTTTAGATTCTAATGATATAATGTTATTTTTCACATTGGAGATGATTAGTGTTATTAAAGACTTAGATAGGCATCTTATTTGACACATGCACACGTCTCAAGTAAAATGAGTTTAGTCATATGAGTTTTGTTAAATACATCATGACTGAGGAGGATGCAGAGATAGACAGCCAAATTTTTGACTGGTCATACAGTCTTACGAAGTATATATGCGGTAAAGATTTTATTGAACATGGATAAGTTGTTCAGAAGTTATTTACGATAAAATTTGCAAAAAGCCAGCCTAAAAAGTGATGGAAACTCAATTTTTTAGAAAAAGATCGGTCTTTTCACCCAAAAAAGGAAAGACGTTTAGAAGAAGATTTTTCCTTCAAAGTACTTTCCGCAAAGAGATCTTTTGTTTAAACATCTTCACTTTTCTTTAAATTCCAGACGGATAGAGAAAATTAAAAATGAAACTCAGAATACACGAAAATGATCAAGTGTCTCTCAAACCGTAAATCAGGTAAATGGACATGAAAAGATAGAGAGACAAACGAGAAAGATATAATATTCGACAGAACATCTCAGAGTCTACAAAATAGACTATTCGTTATCTTGTTTTTATTCTTTAGACATTTTAGAAATTTTCGTTTTCTAATCACATCTCTCTATAGAGTACGATTCTTTTCACAGTTCAAAACTCATAATTTAGTGACGGTACACGAGATGAGGAGCTGAAATTTGATGTGACAGTGGGACACTACGAAAGGAATAACATATTGAAAAATTTGTCTGAATTAGTCAAGAGGAACAGAAGTTATTAGCCAAATGCTGCCCTCATCTCATCCGTACGAACAAGCTGCAATTCACTCATATATAGAGATTGAAAAAGCAAAACCAGCAGTTTTATACAGCTGTCATTTCTCTATCGGATGAACTGAGAGCGAACTCTAGAATTTCTCTTACAAGCATTTGAAAAATAAAATCCAAACACTACCTGTTTATTTTGCGCCACCTATTAGAATGAAAATATATTCATATAGAATCTAATTGAATATTTTTCAATTCTTCGTATTTATTGACAAGCATCTAGTGAAAATAATTCACAGATGGTGTGACTTCGATTCCATAATACTTTTCTGTAGGTTATACTACATCCACATGACGAGTAGAAGTCTTCGTGTTCTTTAATAACTGGATGTGGATGCGGCTGTGCGGCTTTTTTCGTTATAACTTTCGAACTCTTTCACGTTTGGTTTCTTGATAACTTCTGGTTAAAGAATCAAAAGTAACTGTGAAAAGTATATTTTTTGCGTCTAAACTCTCATGATTTCAATCATTTTACAAGATGTTGGGTGGAACAGACTGAATACAAAGTTTTCTGGATGTTTTGAGCAACAAGCATCATAGATGGCCCACGGTCTTCTAAATATTGACTGTTAGTTATATATCGTTAAAATTATTTTTCGAGATGTTGCAGCAATACTCCGATTATTTGTTGACATTATTGTTTTATCGCCAGTAGTGCGCAGCAGTATGTTTTTGCTGTTGAAGAGACAACATAATAAAAGAAGATGAAATCGTACTGTGGACATGAAGACGTGGAAAAATCAAATAATTTGATTCAAATTTTTCTCCTCCGAGAAAAGACAGGCACCACATGTGTTCCAGAAAACGGCAGATTGAAAGAAGTGACAATCAACAACAAAGTAACCATTGTTGTGGCTTAGAGTTGGTTGCACTAACAGCGGCGAAGTTCTATCAGAATGTCAACTAGACATCGAAGGATGTATCGCTAATATTGTGAATAGCTGCTGTAGAGTCATATGCTTGTTCATGAACAGTTGAAGGAGTTTTAGCTCAACTGTAGCTCTTTTCAGAACTATACGTCTCACAATAACAAGCTCGGAGCCAATTGTTACTCGTATGCATAACTCACGATTGTCAGTTGTCACTGTTTATTTAGGCTTTCGATTCGTATTCGCTCAGAATTAGGACTAGCACTTTTGCTTTCTTTTTTTTCTTGCTAAAAGGAAAGAAAAATTGAAAACTGTTCTTTTTACTGTTCTAAAGAGAAAAACACTTAAAGAGGTCAGAAAAAAACTCGAAAGAAAGTAAGAAAGTTGAATTAATTAATTTTTTTTTGAAAAAATGACATATTCAAAATTAGCATTAAACTCTGAGTGAAATTAGACAGCTTGTCTGTCGGAAACGACTTTCATCTGAAAAAAAAAAACTTTTTTTTGTTCGGCTGAATCAATAATTATAAGATTCACAGTGTAATGCGAATTCAGAATATGTATTTTCTTTTAAAAACAAAATAATTAATTCAACTTTCTTTTTGATTTGTTTGGCTTTTTTTTTCGTTAGAACAATGTAAAAGATCTAGTTCTCTCTTTTCAAACACGAAAAACAAAAAAAAAAACAAATAATTTTTTCAACTTTTCTTTCTTTCATGAGAGAAAGTGGAAGAAACGTCCCTACTCCGAAGCTCAGAGAAGACATGTCAACACAAGGCAGCGCTGCTGTTCATACCGGAGCGATTGGTTGAATGCTGCTTGTTCAGAGCGGCAAACAGTCTCAGTCGAAAAGAGAATCATACATTTTCTCGCACGCGCACAAAACAAAGAGTATTGCTCTCCTCAATCAGGTTTCTTCATCACCTCTTAATATGTAAAACATGTTTGTACTACCCTAGCAACGCAAATGAGAATGTAATTCATTTCTCAGCATGAAGAGCTGATATGAAGTTGCGGCAAACGATGGAAAAGTTTCGTTCCATGCGAGTGAAACGCGTTCCACGACGTTCAGGATCTAGACCAGTGCTTCAGGTGAGAATTCGAACCCATCAATATTGCGCCTGAGAACTCAAACAAAAGATCAGCATTGTTTTGATTATCAACGATGTAGAACTTCGTTATGTTTCCTTTTGTAGACGATAACTGTCTCCAATGAAAAGCGGCTGACCACGACTCGCGTATCATCGCAAGTCAGTCCATGGACTGCTTCTACACCGTCGCATAGTCGTCATATCTCACCAAGACTGCGTCAAAATCTTTACCTATTGCCTATGAAACAATCAGTGACAAGACTGAAGAAAAAGAACGAGCGAAAAAAGAAAAGCAAGCGTTGGTTCCCGTTTGCAGTCATCGCTTGCATCCTTGCTTGTGCTCTGCTCTGTATGGCAATAGCTACGCTAGTCACCTACATTGTGACTGTTGCATTAGCAACAACATCAATACAAGCAACAGATGCTACAAGTACTACCACCATGTCTATGGGTTCCGCTTCAACCATCCCGGTTGCAACCACAAGCGTGAATGGAAGCACGAGTGGAGTCAACATGACAACTAGTACTACAGATAACACGACAGATACTACAACAATTATCTTGACGAGCACCAGTATAAGTAAGAGTCTTTTGTCACATCAATCTCACAGATCTTGATGATTTCTAATTGTGCAGCCACTGGACTCACACTTCAATGGAATACAACGGGATTAATGGTGGCCGGTATGGGTCTTTACAGTGTGGCAGCCAACGGCCTCAACTACCCGTTCGGTATGGCATTGGATGCCACAGCTTCGAACGTCTATATCACTGATCAGTACAACAACCGAGTGCAAAAATGGGCCATCGGTGGATCAACGGGCCTGACTGTGGCTGGCCAATCGAATGCAGCAACCGGCTCGAATGCGAATGAGTTGCATATACCCTGTGGCATTGTTCTCGATTCGACTGGAGGCTTCTACGTGGCAGATTCAAACAACTATCGTGTCCAATATTGGTCCAATGGTGCATCCTCGGGCACAACAGTTGCTGGCACAGGTAGACTAATGAGAGATACTCCTTGAAATAGTAGTCAGTCTAATTTACGTTCAAGCACTTTAATATTTAGAGAAACGACTGCAGCACTTGTGAAAGCAAGAAATATCTTATATTGACTAAGAGCAGTTTGTGAGAATTCTGAAATTTAACCTAAGAAATACGGCAAGGGAATGACAAAAAACGAATTCATTTAACATGTCTACCTGATTTGATAAAGTTACTTATGCTGATGATGTATATGAACCTGTAATTGAAAAGGCTGAAAGTAGACGAAATACAAAATAGTGTTCACCAATCGTTTCAACGAATTGCATCTTATTTTAAATTCTACGACAATCTCCAGGATATTCCCCAAAACATCTCACGGAGGTGTTTAAATAAGACTATGTTTTACAAGAAAATTTAATGATTATTTTTTCATGTTCTGTTTTTTGACAAAAGTGCCGAGAGCATGACCAAAAATCTGAACTAAATTCTGGGTTTACATGGTGAAGGAGATTCGCAGCGACTCGTTTTTAGAGCTTCCCATGTGATTAGAGCTGGAAAAAAACCAGCGGTATGATGTGCGCTCTACCGCCGGTAGTTGCAAAAAAACCGTCAATATACCGGCGATAATTTCGTCTTTTACAGGTGGACTCAGGGTATGAATCTACTGACCCGCTATCTTATGAATCTAAGAATGAATCTATACGACGGCATACAAAAAATTGAGGTTTTGGACTTTATCATTAGGAAATTAGTTTTTTTTGTTTCAATTTCGGTATTATTATTTCGTCTTAAGTGAAACATAACTCTTACTAAATTGTTTCTTCTCAGAAACAGCTATATTTCACTCACGACCAAAATGTAATACCGGAATTGAAACAGAAAAAATAATTTTCTAATAATAAAGTTTAAAACAATTAATTTTTTGTATGCGATAATATAAATTCATTCTTAGATTCACAAGACTGTGGACCACAGATTTGATTATAAACAGTTCCGTTTTTTGCTTCATTTTTTCGACTAAATAATGCTCAAAATAATCTAAATAAAAATAAAAGAAACTATTGTGTAATAAATAAATACCTTATTTTCCGGTTTTAAAATTGCTCTAAATAGAAGAAAAAAAATAATAAAATAATAATGTTTTGCATGAACAAGTACATTTTTCTTTTGGCACTAAGATCGTCGTAAATGACACAATGATATAGTAATAATAATTCATAATAAACACTTACTGTTTATTGCAATGTTCACAATCATCTAAATCAAAAAGAACGTTATCATATATATATATAGACAGAGAGAGATAGATAGATAGTTTTACCGCCGGTATACCGCGGCAATCAAGGAAACCGTCGGTATACCGACGGTTTTCTCGACTACTGCAGTATGCCGGCGTTAGTTCAAGTAAATTACGACATGGGTTGTGTATTAAATACACATGCTGGGTGAAATTCCACACTATTGATACTGCAGCTTAACATTTCTGACGCACTATAAAATGTATCATTTAGACAGTATTCAGCACCAAACTACGTCGTATCTTCGTGGGGTTGTACAACGTAGTTGAAATTCAAAGCATTCTTTATCATCTACTGTTGAGAATTTGAAATTCGACAGCTCAGCTGTGCAATTGTTTTGGATGTGAAAAAATGCCACAATAACTCTCATGAGAAAAAAAAATTGCCGGTCAACTTAGAAAATCCCAGGGTACACAGCTGGTGATAAGACCTAGTCAAGAATATGATTGGCAAAAACAATCCGTAACTTTCTGCGTTGACCGGCTGAAGAAAGTCAAATATCATAGTCTGAGAGTGACCCTTGTCTAGTAAAATTGACAAATATACGTCTCACTTTCCTGGATTTCAACAATAAGAAATCGAAATGAGTGCATGTTTATAGGTGTTGCTGGTTCTGCAAACAATCAGCTCGATCTTCCTATGGGTATTTCTCTTGATTCAGTCTCTGGCACGCTGTACATCGCCGATTCGAACAATCATCGTGTGATGACATCATCCGGAACACAGGTTGCCGGTGGTATTGGAGGAGCAAATACCAGAACACAGTTACTATATCCTCGAGGCGTTCACTTCGATTCCGCGTCGAACAGTCTCATCATTGCTAACTATGGCGGTCATAATGTTGTCCGGTGGATATTGGGTGCTACCAATTGGACATTACTCGCAGGACGTGCCACTGGCATGCCTGGCTCCTCGGCAACAGATCTCAATTATCCTATGGACGTCACTCTTGATTCTTATGGAAACTTGTACGTGGCCGATACGTATAATAACCGAATCCAATTTTATGCACCAGGGCAACTCAATGGAACGACAATTGCTGGTATCACAGGTGTCATAGGTAGCAATGCGAGTCTACTTCACTATCCATACTCAGTACGACTGGATGCTCAACTCAACTTATACGTGTTGGACTCGTACAACCAGCGAGTGCAAAAGTTCACACGTCTTTAAATTAGCATTTCACCGAACTATTGACTCCGTTGATCTCACTCATTTCTTCGCGATCAACCCATTGCATCATGTTATATACCGAAAAATGTTTTCTGAACATCTTGTTCAGTGAAAATGCGAATGAAGTCGTTGTCCTTGTAAAGAAAAAAGATTGCTTCTAGATAAGGCTCATGTCTCACCTAATTCATTCTATCTTTACCAAGGCCATCACAGNTTAAGACCTAAACAAAACAGTCGTAACAATTTGTTGATGAAGATGTATTTAGAATCATTTATTTTTATTTTTTATGAACATGAATATGATGAAAAAACAACAAGCCACGCGAATTTTGTCCGTTTCTCGTCGATTAGTCAATAGTATTTTATGTGCAGTTGACTAGCAGGAAAAGAGATCGTTTTCATCTTTGATTTTCTTTTTTTTTAATCTAATTCCAGTAACGATATTTTTATTATTAATAAAATCTATTTCAACAAAAATATAAAAAGAATTAATATGATTTTATGTCATTTTATTTTAAATAATAATTCATTAATGAATATTCTGTGCAACGGTTATTGTATGTATTTGGTTATGAACAACAAAATGTTCATGTCTATTTCGTCGAATTAACTTTTTTATTTGGTCACGAAAATTTTGTGTTGAAATAAAATAAACATAAAAGCTTGATACGGGATTTGTGTAAAATAAAAGTGTGCAAATAACATGTAAAAGAGAAATTGAAGATGATTGATGAACACTGTTACCATAAAACATATTATAATAAACGTTTTCAATACAATATGGAATAGATGACATTATGATTGCAAATGACATTAAGAAAAGTATATGAGATAATTGTTTGTCATGATTTAAATGACCATGAGTATGTGTTTGACTTTGAAGTCTTTTCAAATGTTTTAATGTTAATGAACCAAATATTGAAAGAAATATGATAGGTACTATACCATGAAGTAATATTTGACAAACATATAAATAATAATGTGAATATTCACTTAAACTTATGTCACACTGCCCAGTATTTGAAACTTCAAAATAAACAGCTATTGGTAAACTATGCAAACTAAATATAATAAAAATAGCTAAAATAATTTGTTTTGTTCGATGTCTTGTTGTACTCAAACGCCGAATATGAACATCTCGTGATGTTATCAAAAATCGATCAAATGTGGCCATACAAAATGATGCTAATGATATGAAATCAAATGTATGTAAAACAAAAAAACGTAATTTACATAATATAAAAACATTATTTGGAGATACTGTATAATTATAACCATCAAGTATGACTCGAGTTAATAATGGATAAAGAACGACAGTTAAATTGGCTATAGATGATACAAGTAAATATAATGAAATATTATTGGTTTCACTGACAGTTTGATGTTCATCTATTCTTGCTCGTGGACGAGACCATATTGCAAATACACAAATATTTAAAATATTTCCAATTGAACCAAGTATAAATATGATTATGCCAGCTATTATCATAATTTTACGTGCATCGTTGCCAAGATTTTCCATGTTGTGCATAGAGAGTTTAGAGAACTTTGATGATACTTATGTCTTCTAGATGCTTATTATAAAATAAAGACAGAGTAGAAATAAATGCGAAAACCTCGGATTTAAATCCGAGTGTTATGTGTACTTCAAAAAGTGAAAAGGTACATTCACTGTGCTTTTTATCACTAAATTGCNTTGACTATAACTCGAGAATGGCTCGCTGATTTCGGGAGATATTTTAACCATAATCTATTCTAGCCAAGACTAACTGTTATGATTCGTTAGATCTTTTGAATCATACTGAATAATGCAGCGAGTTGGAACGACCACAGAACGAAGAAAAAGATACTCTTCACGGGACTCGAACCACGTATCTTCTGCTATCCGGGCAGATGTCCTAAGCCAGTTAGACTAGAAAAGACACTTAATCTTCGTCTTATGTACAGAGGGGAACACTCTGGACATAACACTAACATTCTCTGAAATTTTGGTTGAATTCCATGGAAAAATAAAAAAGTTTGTTTGTAAGGAAGGGAGGGAGGCTTCCCCTAAAAGAAATTCCAATACAATAAAATTTCCATTGACGAAAGAATCATGAAAAGGTAGAGTTGTAAATTTTTTAGTATCGTGGATTTCATCAATTCATTCATCCATGATGATAGGTGATGTAGTTCCATTAACACGAAAGCATCGACAAGATAGAAAGATAATAAATTTCCATAACTAATATTTGTCTTCGTCACTTCAATATTTTTTTTTATACAATCTGTAACAAAGCCATTAGGCTCCCACCTACAGCTTAAAGTATTAGTGATATCAGAAAGTATTTTATATCAAATTAAAGCTCATGAAAACCTGCATGTACGAGTCTAATAAGAGCAATTATTTCTTATGAAATTATTGAAATGTTTTGAATTGCATGAGAAACTGCACTCGTACTGTACGATTTTCATTCTTCATGTACATGTTTTCACAAAAAAATAATAATAGCAGATTCATTATCTCCATCAAAAATCAAATCTATAGACATGTCATCTGTATATTATTGACGAAAAACACTTTTTCGAAAAAGTTCTGGAGGGTACTCCAGACAAATTTCAAAAAATGTTTTTGAACTGAAATATGTCTATTTATATATCAGCCGAGGCAGTTTTTGACGGAGATCACGAATTCGATATTATTTTTGTTGAAAAATGTAATAGAAAAAGTAAAAATTGTAATATACAAGGCCATTTGAGCAGAAAAATGCCATACATGTTAGAATATCGGATCAATAAAAGAATTATTATGCTCTCTCCTCCACATATATGTTATTTTTTGATGGATTGTAGCTTACACCGATTTGCAGTGGTTTTAAGTGCGCATTGCCTTAGAGTAGAGCGTCACCTATTCTAAGCAGTTCTCATTTGCTGTTGTCATATTTTAATGTTACGAAGTGCGTGCGCGAGCTGGATAACGTGTTTATTTTTGATCAAAAAAGACTCACTACTGACAAACAACAACAAAGATGAGAGAAAAAAGAGAGAAGCAAGGGAGGAAAACTGTGCGTATATCAACTAAACTAAGTCACGTCTGTAACACATTAACTCAGCGAATCAAAATGGCTAATCTTCTTCATGGTTCAGAAGAGCAACGATTTGTGGACAGAATTCGTTGTATCATGTATCGTGAGATACGCGATGAAATGATTGCAAGAATGGAAGATTGGGTCAGACGACATTAGAATAAAATAATCGAACAATGTCATAAGCAATTTAAAAGTGGTCGATCTGCGGTGCTCTCCCAGGAGAGCAAAAAATATTATCGTCTCTCCAAGTGGTGTCAAGAGTAGCGGCTCTCGAAGGGTTGAGAGAGATTTTGGAGAAAACAAGACAGCAAGTGAGTCATATGACCGTTCATCGTGAACGCTATTGACAAGGATTAAAACCTTTTCATGTGATTGCAAAGCCATTGAAGTAAAACACCCATATTGAAGATCGTAAATGGCTCGCAAATTTTATTGACGATTGAATTGAAGAAGATTTTCTGAATATCGCACCTTCACATGTATTTTATATTTATGTAATCAGAAAGCCAAACCATCAAAATGACAAAATATGGGCAAAAAGTATCGAAGACATCAGTGTGGATGAAAGATATAGTGAAATGGTGCGCGATGCAACATGCATCGAAATTTTTGTCATGTTCACTACAAAGAAACTTCTTTAAATCCTGAAGGAACAGAGACAATCTTGGAAAGATGTCTATTTCCGTAAAATTATTCTTCAACAACATGTGAGGCCATTTCTTCGAGATCCTATCAATGTTCCTGACACAAATGAAGTCATATTTCTCCACGATAAGGCACCCTGCGTGAAAGCCAACGCAACACAACATCTTTTGGAGGATGAGGACGTAGAGTTCTGGGGCAATTCAAATTGGAACCAGTAACAGTTCTGACACGAACTCTGCAGAAAACATCGGTGCAATTTTCAAAGATAAAGTTGAAGAACAGATGACAAGTGACGATCGCCAAAACAGATACGGTTATGACGTTCTCTAAATTAACATTAAGAATGCACTCAAGAATCTTGAAAATGACACAAATCTTTTTGTTGATTTGCTATGATCAATAAGAAGAAGATATCATGCTCTCAAAGTTGCTGAAGGAGGTCATACAAATTCCTGAAATTTTTCCATAAAAGTGCATTTATGAGAAGTTTATATTTCTAATAAATTGGAAACTCTATCATTTACAATTTAAGCTGATGAAGGGGCATGATAGTTCTTTTATTGACCCGATATTCTAACATGTATGGCATTTTTCTGCTCAAACGGCCTTGTATATTGCAATTTTTACTTTTTCTATTACATTTTTCAACAAAAATAATATCGAATTCGTGATCTTCGTCAAAAACTGCCTCACATATTTCAGTTCAAAAACATTTTTTGAAATTTGTCTGGAGTATCCTCCAGAACTTTTTCGAAAAAGTGTTTTTCGTCAAAAATATACAGATGACATGTCTATAGATTTGATTTTTGATGGAGATAATGAATCTGCTATTAGTTTTTTGTGAAAACACGTACATGAAGAATGAAAATAATAAAGTACGAGTGCAATTTCGCATATAATTCACAACATTTCAATAATTTCATAGTCAATAATTGCTCTAATAATACTCAAAATTCAGTTTTTGATGAGCATTATTTCGATATAAAATACTTTGCGGTATCATTTATACTTTAAGTTGTAGAAAGGTGTAATGTTTTTGTTACACCCTGTAATCGTACAAATAAATATTCCATTTTTTCTTTGAAATAGTTTTTATGTCAATTAATTAGTTCAATAATTGACTTTTGTTTAGGTTTGGGACAATTACAAGGTCAAAACATTCAGCGAGCTAGAGTTAGTTTTCAGTTCTGATATAGTGTACCTATTTATAAATATTGTCAATTCTATTGATTAATACAGATTCAAAGAGACTAAAGACTATGTTGGATAAAAGTCTTTTTGTTGAAAGTCTTGTTCAACGAATCATTGCTGTTACACTAGCCTTTAGCTTTGTTATGGAAAAGAAATACACTTGAGATAATATTTTATTGATCTGGTATTAAATAGAAATTCAAATGATTTTATTTAATTATTAAACAAATCAATACCAAATAAATTTTTATGATATTTAAAATTTGTATATCGAATGAACCAATCATACAATTGACTTTCATTTGAAATAATACTTTAATGTATATAAAACAATTCTGTTGAAAAACAGATCAATTCAATCCAATAACAACTTTTCTTTTTAATACTATTCGATCGATTGAGCAAAATGTTTAAACAATTAATAAATGATTATTTATCTAATGGAAGATTTAATTTTAAATATTTCACACGTAGAAATTGATGAGCAAGTATTGACACTTTTTTTATCATATATAAACAACATTTAACAATTAAATGATGAATAGAAGGTTGAACTATTCAATTTGTTGAAAGAATAGCTACAGCTATGTAATCAATAATTATCCTTTTTTAAAAGATACTTAAATGTGTCCCTTGAAAAAATGACTTTGCAAATACGAAATGGCAACTTAATATCAATCAATACAGAACTTATTATTTCACACACATGATCAAATTCTGTATTTAATAGAGAAAATTCGACATCATTTGTAATTATCACATGTTTCATATATTCAGATGTTTCAATGTCTGATGATATTTATGAATCTGATCCAACTCCGACAACAGGTAATTGTCGTTTATCATTTTTATTTAATGACCATGGTAAAGGATAAATATGTATATATCTACGGTCTTTCATACCATAATATGTAATATTCATTGGCCATCGTACAAAATTTTCAATTAAGATTTCATTAGCAATTTGATGAGTTATTGTATAATCAAATTGACAAAGATGTATGTGGAAGATATTCATTTCAAATTGATTCAATAGTGGGACCATGACAAAACAGCGGATTAAATGTATCATGAATACTTAAAGTTAATTCAATTAATTTGTCATATAAGCAAGAATAGATGATATATCATGAATAACAAATGCAACAGATGATTCGAATAATGTACAGTCCGTTAATCAAGGACATGTCCATCGTGCACTTTAAGGATAACGACAAGCTACAGTAGAAATATGGGTGTGGGTGCGAGAGTTTCTTTCCTAACACCTACACCCCACACCTCACACCCGCACACCCACACCCATCCTCGGTGCAGAACCCAACAAGCAACAAGACTGTATACTTTTTGGGGTAAACAATTTTGGTGAGAGCATATAGCTTCTTCTATATTGAAAACACCGTGATCACGAGGACAAATGCAATCACCTAAAATCACACTAAAGTCACATCACCATATAGAGACTAGTCCATAATCTATAGAAGTGTAGTGTTCGCTTTGAAAAAAAAATGCTCTGCTAACTTACAAGAAAGATTACGATTGGAGGTGCGGGCTCTAGCTGAAGTACGAGTCTTGCAACAAGTCGCGACCATCGAAACTGCGGAAGGGTAGAGGCATTAGAACAAAAGCTGTAGACGGTACTTCGACATATGGGACTAAGAAGTTTCATCCCTGACCACTGGAGAACGAATTAGAAATATCTAAAAACTGTTAATTTTCAATACTTTAATTCTTTTATTACCAATTTCAAAATTTCATTTCAATCCTAATCAACTAGAGCCTCTTATTTCTATGATCCGACATATTTTCTACAACTTTTGTTCGCTCTTTTATTTTGCTGAACTCACATATATTTTCGAAGAAAATAGTGAGTGTAAATTATAAATCGAGGTTTTGGCGGCTACTTCCATTACAGACATTAGTAACCCAGCAACGAGAGATGGCGCTTACGTAATATCAATGCTTGGATCATTTTGAAACCCTATAAATTCTAAGTGTTTAGTCTAAATACAGTGAACTCTCTCTAAACTGAGCACGATCGGGAATGTTCAAAACCATTCACAATATGGAGTTGTTCACTTTCGAGAGGTCCATTTTCAGCAAAAATTGATGTTTTGGACTGGTTAAAAACGCTCATAATAACGAGGTTTTCACTATAGAGAGATGATCACTAGTAGAGGTGCTACTGTAGTGCAGTTTTGGACTTTTTATGCAGCGAAAGGACCTCGTTGTAGGTCTTAACCAATAGAGAAGTCGTTCTTTTTATCTCATAGAGTCCGATTCGGATAGACATAGAAAAACCTGAACTGATTGAATTCTAATTTTAGGCAAAGACTCAGTGATGTGTATCAAAACTCACCGAGAGAAAAGGTAGTGTGCAAGATAACTTAGTGAGCGATAAAATCAATGCCTATAGCAAGCTAATATAGTAGTTGGATCGATAAAACGAAGAGTAGAATAATATTTCCCGCTTTCTATGGTGTATATCGTAGATATGCTGTCATTACGAGAAAAGAAGCTATGGATTGAAAATGTATCAGATAATACAAATAAGTTCTTACAGTATAACGATATTGAATGAATCAAATAAATTGTTAGAAAGTAATTATACATTTGAAAATTTTAAACATGATAAAACTTCAGAGCGCGCCTATCAATAATAAAAACTGTTATGACCTTGGAATTATACATTTATTTGATATCTTCTAAAACAAAACACTATTGTAAACGCTATGAAAATATATAAAGGAGTTATAACAGTCAGAGTTCGTGACGAGTTGTTTTACAAGACTGCTTTTGTTGTTACAAAATTTTTGTAAAAGATTTCTCAAAATAAGTGTTTCATTCTGCTGGACATCTAGAAATCAATAGATACACGCACATTATACAGTTCTCTTTTTCTTAACACTCACACTGTTGAATAATATTAAACTTTAGAACATCTGGACACGTGCATACATTTACGAATTCTCTTTTTTTCTGTTGAGCACTTTTATCAAACTGGAATCACTTCATTTTTGCCGGCTGCTAAATGACTGAATGAATTCATAACTGAAAACGGGTCTGGATCATGTATGACCGGTTTTATATATAAGATTTTGCTTTAATTAGCGAATTAATCACATATTTGTTGGCAATCAACTGATCTGGTTGTCAACTGTGACGGTTGGTAACTAAGCTGGAAGCAAACTTGTTAATTTAAGTAAGATGTCGCATATCGAATCTACCATATTTGATTCAGACTCATTGCCGATTATATATTCATTCGGTGGTCTTGAAAACGACAAAAGAAAATATTTGACAAAAATAGTAATTACCTGAAAACGAAGTAATAAGAAGCTGTAGGAGTAATATCATCGCCGTATGCTTCAAGAGAAGAACGGGAGCAAGAGAGAATCGACTTTTTTTTCAAATAAAACATTTCACCTTCAATAATAACCTTCCCACATATCATGGAAATTTCATAAAATACTGTCAGTTGATAACAAAATTGGAATTTGAGTTTCTGATATTTGTGCACAATGTACAGTGAACAATCTCTAGAGAAGACATGCATATTAGATGTCGATGAGCGACGCATTTGTAAACCATCATTTTTTAAGTTATTCCATGTGCATTTTCCAATGATATAAAAAAACAGGCTATGCAGTTTTCTTCAGTCCTTCCAAAGGACCTCGTGTGGATGTCGGAGGACTCAATCATATCTCTCTATCAAACAGAAATGCTTCAACCACATAAAGTCAGAAAGGAACGCTTTTTTTTTGCAAACACGCTACCTTTATTCGACCACATCAGTGCAAGAGAAAACGAGCAAAAACAAAGAGAATTACTCCATCCATGTCTTCATTCACAAGCAGAAGGCAAAAACGGTGAGAGAGAAATGGATCGTTGTGTTTTTTCAACTTAAGGAATGCCTCTAGTAGAAATGTATTTTTTCTATAAGAAACAGTTATTTTTTAAAGGAAAATGCTTTATCCATATCTCCACTCACAAGCGGAAGTCGAAAAAACTGAGACAGAAATGGTTGATTTTACTTTTTTCACCTTAAGAGGTGTTTCTGGTAGAAATGGATTTTTTCTATTAAAAACATTTTGTTTTAAGGAGAAATGCTTCATCCATATCTCCACTCACAAGCAGAAGTGGAAGAGGGTGTGAGAGACATGGATTATTTTGTTTTTTCGACGTAAGGAGTGTTTCTAGTTTGAAAGAAAAGCTATTTCTCTATAAATTTAAGTATATGTTCAGTACCATATAATAGATTTTATGTATGTATATAGAGACTTGTTTTAATTCTTTCTTTCCATTTTTTCTTTATGTATATGAGTTTATGTTGGATGAATCATTTCCCCATAAAGTGGAACAACTTCTCCCATCGCCTGGTCCAATTGTTCATTGCTGCACCCACACCAACGCCATACATCCCACATCCACACCCTATCCAGCGTCATATTGCACAAAGTAAGCATAAAATATATTGACATAATTGGTCAATAGTAGGTAAAGAAAAACATTCATACAGATTACGCATAAAAGAATCGCTTGTCGTTGTTGAAAAGTCACCTAGCTTAAATCAGACTACTACATCGGCACTTTTGATTGTGTTTCCAGAAGGTTTTACAAAGAAACGATAAGCAAGAACAAGTTCATAACTGTATAATTCAACATACACGAGATCCACAACTATACATAGTGCTTCGGTTTTTTCAAACCTAATTTTCTTCAAGATGTAAAATATTTTCTTTACTCTTAACATATGTCGTATTTTTGATTATTAATTAATTCGTTGTAACTCATATTATTGATTGGTTATTGTATAACCTGATTCTTAAAACTGTTTCCACTAGTAACATATACCTTCAGTTCAACGACTAATCTCATATCATTGTAACTCATTTCGATTTCTTGTTCCTGTATCATCTTTTAATTATGTAAAAAATTTATCTACTCATATCAAATATCCTAATTTTACTATTACCTTTACTCATTGTAACGCGCATCAATTATTTGCTATCTGATCATTATTAATATGCATCCTCAACTGTAATACTATTTGTTCGTACTCATTGTTAATATTCATTCTCATTGATAATCTTCTATTTTTGACTTACTATCTAATTTTTCATCTAGTTATATATTTAATTTTCTGTAAGCGATTTCCATTGTACTTGATAACGATAATAAATTTATCGAAATGTCGTAAGATGATGAAAAACTAAAAATTTTTCTTTGATTTATTTATGCTGCTATAAAAGCTTTCTCATATAATTCAATTTTTTGTCCATGAGTCAATTTAATAATAAAAGATTAATAAAACAAACATGTATTAAATTGTGTATGAAAACCAATTTTGTCTATAATTACTCGAAACAAGACAATCAGTCAGTAGTAGATTTCCTTTTGAACTTTATTTAATTCCAACGAAACATGAAAATAAAACACATTTGTGTGTTGTGGTCTTCTCATCGTTGCCCTCTCCCTACACGTCTATTTGAGCATACATACAACGCCTTACTTAGTGTGTTAGAAAGAGCATGGCAACCAAAGAAAAAACAATCAACAGCACTTTTAAAAATCTATTTATGATTTTTCGTTTTTTCTTTTCTGTGAATGACGACAATGCATTCATTTTACTTCTTTTCATTCTTACTCTTCCCTGATTCTTGCTTGATGCACAGAGACTCCATCTCTTTGTCATCGTCGCTTTGTCAACAATATTCTTGAAATAAGCGAACGATTGAGAAAAGAAGTCCTTGAAGTCTATAGCAATCAGTCAAAGAAAAAAGTGTCAACAAATAAAATAACTTATTCTATATATAGAGGAGGATAACGTCTCATTTATTGCATTCATTTATTCATCAAACCATCATGGACGACCAAAAACCGACAACAACTGCTGCTAATGAGGCATCATCAATGATTGCTACCAATAGTACTGCTCTCCTGCCCACCCATCTTCATCAAGTTCTACAAAATTTTCTGCTTATCTGGCTTGATGCCAATATTGACGAAACCCAGGAAGATTTCAAGAAATCGATACAACATTTACGGCATGTTGTGAGAACAATCAGGACATTTACAGACGCTCAAGAATGTGTCACTTTTCTCAGTAAAATCAAAGAAGAAAAAGCATTTATGATTGTGTCTGGCTCGTTGGGACAACAAATAATACCAGATATTCAAGCATGGCCACAATTGGATTCCGTGTATGTGCTTTGTGACAATAAATCTGTTCATGAACAATGGGTCAAAAAAATACCTAAGATAAAAGATGTGTACACACAAATTGAAGAGATTTGTGAAGCATTAAAAGTTGCTTGTGAGCATTGTGACCGAGCTATGATCTCAATCAGTTTTAATGGCATCGATCCGTTATTTATGTATACGCAACTGTTAAAAGAAATACTTTTGGAAATCGAATATGACGATACAAAATCTATTAAAGAACTCGTTGATTACTGTCGACTTCAAGATAATATCACAGAAGGCGGAATTGATGAAGTTGAGCATAAATATCGCCACCATACACCGATTTGGTGGTACACAGCTCCATATTTTATATACTCAATGCTCAATCGCGGTCTTCGGTTGATGGAAGTCGACATTATACTCAAAATGGGCTTCTTTATTAGACATTTACATCAACATATTGAAACCTTGTATCGTGAACAACAATCCACCAGTACCACGGCTACTGGCACATTTCAAGTTTTTCGAGGTCAAGGTTTATCACTCGAAGATTTTGAAAAATTGAAAAAAACAAAAAGTGGACTTATGTCTTTCAACAATTTTCTTTCAACAAGTCGTAATCGCAATGTCTCCCTTCAAGATTTTGCACTGCCAGCACTCCAAGATACCAATTCAGTTGCCATACTCTTCGTTATGATCATTGATCCAACACTATGTTCAACATCATCGATTCCATTTGTCGACATAAAAGAAGAGAGCTACTTCGAAGATCGAGAAGAAGAAATTCTTTTCTCAACGCACACAATTTTTCGTATCGATCGTATTGAACCCATCAAAGATTATCAAACTGATCGGCTATGGCAAGTCAATCTCACCCTTACGGGTAACGACAATCATGATCTTAACGCACTCACAGTACACATGCGCAAAGAGCTCAATGCGAAAGCAACACGAGGATGGTCTAGACTAGGTTTCATACTTATTAAAATTGGTACGCCGTCAAAAGCAGAACAACTCTATCAGATCCTTCTTGAAAAATCATCGTCCAATGGAGATCGAGCATATTACAGTCTTCTACTTGGCTCAGTGTATGATGACATGGGCGAATATTCGAAAGCACTTTCATATTACGAACAAGCCCTGGAAATTCAAAAAGTAGTTCTCCCTCCGAATCATCCCGATTTGGCTCTTTCCTACAGCAACATCGGTTCGGTATATGCTAACATGGGCAAGTACTCAGAAGCACTTTCATATTACCAAACAGATCTGAAGATCAGCCAAAAGACTCTTTCTCCGATTCATCCCAACTTGGCTATTTCTTACCATAACATGGGTAATGTGTATGCTATTATGGGCGAGTACTCGAAAGCAATTTCATCATACGAACAAGCCATTGCTATCGATAAAAAAAGTCTTCCTCCAGATCATCCTGACATGGCTACATCCTACATGAACATCGGTGCAGTGCATGATAGAATGGGCGAATACTCGAAAGCACTTTCATTCCACGAAGAGTCACTTGAAATCAAGAAAAAAACTCTTCCTCCGTATCACTCCGACTTGGCATCCTCCTACAATAATGTCGCTGTAGTGTATTTTAACATGGGCGAGTACTCGAAAGCACTTTCATACTACGAAAAAGATCTGGAGATCAACCAAAAGAATCTCTCTCCAACACATTCGCATATTTTAGAATTGAAAAGATACATTGAGATGGCGAAAAAAAGATTGCAGTGACTTGTTTTTGCTATCACAATAAATTACCTTCCTTTTTGGATGTGGGTGAATGCAAAGAAAACTCATATTCGCACCTACACCCACACCCAGGTGAATGAGGTACGACCAGAAAATACTAGGAACTTGGAAGCAGGAATCCATTGAGTGGGTTCGGTGAGGGAATGGGTTCAGTTCCTGCCGAAACCAACCGGAACCGAGTAAAACCGACAACCAGATACGATCATCGGACTCCTGCTTCCAAGTTTCTATCATATTCGGGCGTTTTCCGACATGAAACGATGTCTTTCTGACGACTTTCAGCCAGAAACATCACGAATTTGGGCGCCGAAATCATCGACCTGGGCACCTGCACTCACAATCATACTCACGCCCACATTCACACCCATATTTATCATCATTAGGCAATGATTCATTTATTTGTCAAAACAAACAATTCACTGATTTCATGACCACGATTAATCGTAAAGAAAAAAAAATGAAAATTTCGAAACATGTTCATTATATGAGCAAAAGCTGATTAGCAAGAAATATTAAATGTAAAAACAAAATAGTAGTGATAGAACTCTTGTTACTGTATATCACACATTGTTTTCATTGTTATTCACAGGTAAGATTATCAAACTATGAATTTGGTAATGTTTCGACACATCTTGCTGATCTCAATAAATATTGTCATCGTACCTACAATTAATCAGTCAAAAACTTGTTAGTGTGACCTCAAAAGGGGTCAATGTGTTAAACTCACAAAATTTGACTGTTTTATATTTGAAGTATATCGGCAAAACCTTTCAAGAATGTGGTTATGAGTAGGTGAAGGAAACATCCGCACGCCACACCTGCTTACAGAACTCGTTAGAAATTCACTGGATTCCATCCATTTTGTGCCTCCCATCTTCAGTCTGGGTAGTGGTCTCGCTAGGAGTGAAGCTGGGGCCCAAAATCTTGTAGAAAATCGGAAACTGGAAGTCCTCGGATCCTGTAACCGATATGTGGCTGCATTGTAAAAGATGAATCATATATCATTCGGCGCAGAACCCAACAAGCTACAAGACTGTATACTTTTTGGGGCGAACAATTTTCGTCAGAGTAAATAGCCTGTTCTATATTGGAAACATCGTGATCACGAGGACAAATGCAATCACCTAAAATCACACTAAAGTCACATCACCATATAGAGACTAGTCCATAATCTATAGAAGTGTAGTGTTCGCTTTAAAAAACAGCGCTCTGCTAACTTACAAGAAAGATTACGATTGGAGGTGTGGGCTCTAGCTGAAGTACGAGTCTTGCAACAAGTCGTGACCATCGAAACTGCGGGAGAGTAAAGACATTAGAGCAAAGGCTGTAGAAGGAACTTCGACGTATGGGACTAAGAAGTTTCATCCTTGACCACTCGAGAACGAATTAGAAATATCTAAAAACGGTTAATTTTCAATACTTTAATTCTTTTATTATCAATTCCAAACTTTCATTTCAATCCTAATCAACTAGAGCCCCTTATTCCTATGATCCGGCATATTTTCTACAACTTTTGTTCGCTCTTTTGTTTTGTGGAACTCACATATATTTTCGAAGAAAGTAGTGAGTGTAAATTTTAAATCGAGGTTTTGGCGGCTACTTCCATTACCGACACCACAAACAAACTCTCCATTGCAGACAGTAGTACCCCAGCAACGAGAGATGGCGCTTAAGTAATATCAATGCTTGGATCATTTTGAAACCCTATAAATTCTAAGTGTTTAGTCTAAATACAGTGAACTCTCTCTAAACTGAGCACGATCGGGAATGGTCCATTTTCAGCAAAAATTGATGTTTTGGACTGGTTAAAAACGCTCATAATAACGAGGTTTTCACTATAGAGAGATGATCACTAGTAGAGGTGCTACTGTAATGTAGTTTTGGGTTTTTTATGCAGCGAAAGGACCTCGTTGTAGGTCTTAACCAATAGAGCAGTCGTTCTTTTTATCTCATAGAGTTCGATTCGGATAGACATAGAAAAACCTGAACTGATTGAATTGTAATTTTAGGCAAAAACTCAGTGATGTGTATCAAAACTAACCGAGAGAAAAAGTAGTGTGCAGGACAACTTACTGAGCGATAAAATCAATGCCTATGGCAAGCTAATATAGTAGTTGGATCGATGAAACGAAGAGTAGAGTAATATTTTCCGCTTTCTATGGTGTGTATTGTAGATATGCTATCATTACGAGAAACGAAGCTATGGATTGAAAATCTATCAGATAATATTTAGGGTAAAGCAAAAGTTCGAATCAGGATGTTTAAAATTTTATAAAACAGTAAATATTGAATGTTTTATTATGGAAATATATAGTATAACGTCTCGTCTTTAATAATCTATAGAGCAGCACTATCTTGAATTTAGTTGTAACATCTTGCTAGATAAAATATATAGTACTTATGGCCAAGAAAAGATCCTGACAACATAAAACCAGAATACGAAAAGAAAAAAAATACTGGAAGTTTTATTTTATTAAATGATTAAAATACTCACCATTATTTTCTATTCAAAGCTCGATCCCTTCTAACAGTTTATCAAAAGTCGTTTTAAACTCCTTTATTGGAATATTCTTCACTATGGTGGAAACCTCCTGAGCCAGCGATTCTTCGTTTGTGTGATCAGTCAAATTCCTCTTGATATAATCATTTAGCCAAAAGTCACACGGTGCAAGATTTGGTAAATGTGATGGATGTGGGATTATTTCGATACCTTCCTCTGTTAAATAATTAACAACATGTCGATGAGTATGATGACGACCATTATCATGAAGCAGTTTATATTTTGTGCGTGATGATTTTCCTTTTTTTCTTATTTCATTGATAACAGGTATGAGACAATTTTCAATATAGTAGTTGTGATCGATAGTCTTACCTTTATCTGCTTTGTGTATAAGAACAGGACCAATGGATTTATAGAATAAGCAAAACAGTGTTCTAGGTCCAGATCGATTCCGATGGACAATGGTCCTTGGTGGTTCATTTTCACCAACCCAAGTAGTATTGCTTGACTTCCGACCAATCTGTGTGTGATAAATCCATGTCTCATCACCAGTAATAATATCACATAACCGCCATGTTCCGTTTCTGAATTTCTCTAAATTTTGACGACAAATTTTAAATCGTTCTTGTTTTTGTTTGTCAGTGAGTTGGTGAGCAACCTAATGTGATGTAACTTTTCTCATCTTCAGACAATCATAAATAATTCTTTCTATTGTACCACGAGATAGACCAGTCTCAACCGTAATATCACCATAAGCTGAGTGTGGGTCATCTTCGATAACTTGTCGAACGCGCTCAATGTTGTCATTGCTAAATAAGGTGGGAATAAT